CTGGCTGGAGGGGAGCTGGGGCTGATGAGGTGTCTCTGGAAGAGGGTGTCTATTTGGAGGGATGAAGGAGTGTGGCCTGGGATGTGGTGGGGGCGAGAGGGTAAACGGGGGGGGCTGTGGTGGGGAGTTGGGTGGGAATTTCCCTCCCATTCATCTTTCAGCCTCCTATTTCTACCTCTTAGACTACGCAGAGGCCCTGATCAACCCCATTAAACACGTCAGCCTCATGGACCAGCGGGCAAAACAGCTGGTGGCACTGATTGGAGACAGTGAAGTGAGTGGGGGATGGGGGCCAATGGATCTGGGAGAGAGAGGGTGTGTGCAGTAGTGGCTCTGAGGGAGAAGCGGAATGGGGTATCAGATGGGGGGTGCTTAGGGCTAGTTGGGGGGCAGTGGATCTGAGTCTGAGGATAATGGGGTACTGGTGAGGGGCGGGATCTCACTCCGTCTAGAGGTGTGGCTTGGTGGGGGCTCTAGGAAGGAGTCAACAAGCGTTTTGGTGGGCGGTGGATCTTGAGGACAGGTTGAGGGGAGCCCTCTGTCTCCCCCACTGAACCCATCCTCGAACCCCTCTCTTCCCCAGGAGAATTCAGAGAAGCCGCGGGAAACGTCTGGGAAGCAGCGAGCTGATGTGGTGGCCGAGCCCCCCACGGATTCCCGACAGCCGCCCACTGTCCTGCTGCCCCCTGCCGGCAGCCCTAGTGTCGCCAGCCCAGGCAAGGGGGATCCCTGAGTCCTGTCTCCATTGGAGGGCCGGGGTTATAAGCTGGGGGAGGCACCCTCTGCTGGGTAGGGCTTTCCTTTAATGTGGGGGAGGGAGCGTCCCCTATAAAGGGAGGGGTTCTCATAGGCTGCATGAGGATGGGGGGTTCTCCTGTGATGGGGAGTACAGAGTCATGGTGCAATGGAGCCAATCCCTGTGGCATGTGTGGGGTGCATAATGGGAGAGACCCCTGAGATCCAGTCCAGTCTTCAGAACTGTAGCCCTTTGTGGGGGCTGAAAGAGATTGGGATGAGTTTTCTCCTCATGCCTCCCCCTAACCACTGCCTCCTCCTCCCTGCAGGGCAAAGGGATGACCTCATTGCTAGCGTCCTCGCAGGTAAGGACTGCGCCCAAGCATGGGACACTGCCTCCCACTGACCCCACATCCCTCTGCTTGGGGGTGGTGGGAGGAGGCAGCTTTGTTGTTACCATCCCCCTGTGCCCCTCCCCAGAGGCAGCTGCATCTCAGCACTGGCTTCCTGTGTATGCAGGGATTGGGGGATGCTGAGACCCTCCTTCCCTCACTCTGTTCCAGAGGTGGCTCCCCAGTCCCTGGAGGAGCTGCGGCAGCAAAAGGGCTACATCAAGCTGCTGAAGAAGCAGTACCGGGAGCTGAAGGAGCTACGCAAGAAGCACATGAAGAACATCTCCAGCCTCAACAAGAAGCAGAGCACCCAGGCTCACCAGCTGCACAGCGACAGCCTCCGGCGCCGCTCCCAAGTGGAACGGAGCCTGCGCCGTGGGCACCAGGAGTGAGTGGCCCCTCATGGCTCTGCTGGTGCCCTTCAGTCCTGACCTTCAGCCCTTACTACTGCCTCTCCCACAACCCCCTGTTATTCCAGCCCTAGGATTCCCCCCCGCAACTCTGCCCCTCAGTCCCCATCTGCAGCCCCCATTATCCTAGCTCTGCTGGTGCCCCTCAATCCCGACCCACAGCACCCACCGTGCTGACAGTCTCTGTCCCTTGCAGTGCCAACGGCTCACTGGAGGCACTGGAGCAGGAAGTGTCTCGGCAGAAGCTGGAGCTGCAGGAGGGGCAGCTGCGGGGACTGCTGCAGCTGCGGGAAACCCAGCACCAGGTGGAGAGAGCCCGCAAAAAGGAGCACCTGCAACAGGTACCTAGGAGGGCGGGCAGAGGAGCATCAGAATAAGGGGCAGCTGAAACAGGTGCCCTTCCAGAGGAGGGCACAGGGCAGCTCCCAAAGATCCCCTGCAACCGCGGGGGAACTACACATGGGTATCTGAGGAAGGGGCTCTGGAGCTGGGAGGGGAGGGGATGGGGGCGTGGAATGCAAGGGCAGCACTTTGGTGGGGGGCAGCGCAGGATTGCTAGCTGGGAGGGGAGTTTGGGGGAAGGGAGGGTGCCAGGGTCACGGATCTAACAGCAAATGCCCTGACACTGCTCCTGTCTGTCCCCACCCGCCCTCCCACCCACAAGGCCCAGCAGCGGCTGCGGGAAATTGCCCAGGACTGCCAGGCTGCCCAGCTGAAGAGAGTCAAGGAGACCAGTGAGAGGTGGGTGCTGGGGGTGGGGGCAGGTGATGGCAGTTTCCCCAGGACACTGCTCCCCACAAGTCTGATAGATCTGTGCCCCTCCCCAGGGAGAAGAAGGAGCTGCAGAAAATCCTGGACCGCAAGCGGCACAACAGCATCACAGAGGCCAAATCCCGGGAGAAGCAGAAGAAAGATGTGTGAGTGGCAGGGGCAGGTGGGAGCTAGCGGCATTGGGCTAGTGTGGAGAGGAGGGGAGTGAGCTGCTGGGGGGGGGAAAGGGGTTAGTGGGGGGCAGGGGCTAGGGGTGGAACAGGGAAGGAGGGAGCTAGCAGGGGTGGGGCCAGTGCTGGGGGAGGTCACATGTCCTGCCACTCCTGGGGCTGGGCTAGGGCTTTGGACCGCAGTGCACATGGGGGCAGTGGGGACGGGAGGCAATATGAATCCTGGGTCAGGGATCCCTGTGTCACTGGGGGATAGATGGGGCATACAGATTCCTGTGCTGGGAGGGCAGGGGGTATGTCCCAGCCAGTTCTGAGCGTGGTCAGGCTGGAGTTGACCCTTTGTGGGAAGGGGCTGTCCTGCTTGATGGTCTGTCTCTTCCTCCCCCATATCCCTGCAGGGAGCTGACTGAGATTAACAGGAGACACATCAACGAATCAGTGAATTCCATCCGCAGGGTGAGTGCCCCCCACGTTGCCTCGCTCTGCCTCCCACATTGACCATTCCGGGGGGAGAGAACAGCCAGCTGCCCCACTTGTGCTTCCGCAGACACATGGGATCCCTGTAAGATCTGAGCATTAGTGGGGGCAGCTCTCCTGCTAGTCCTGCCCCTCATTCGTTCCTTGGGCACTGACAGGCTCGCAGCACCCCTTTCCCTTGGTCTGCTCCCCCCAGAAACGCTCTCTTGCCCCCTCTCTGCAGCTGGAGGAAGCCCAGAAGCGGCGCCAGGAGAAGCTTGTGTCGGGGCACCAGGAAATCCTACAGCAAATTGAAGAGGAGGAGCCCAGGGTGAGTATGGAGGGGGTGGGACTGGTAGTGCCAGGGGGTGTCTCCCATGGGCCCAGTTGCCCTAGCAGGGGAAACCCTGCGGGAGTGAGTGCCACAGGTGGGGGGCTGGTGCTGTTCTAGGGTCATCCCCCGGAGAGCCCTGGATGCCTGCAGTGTGGGGAGGAGCTGTGGGCCCATCATGCAGTGTAGAGGAGAGATTGTGCAGCTTCAGGCCCTAGTACAGTCGTGGGGGGTGGGGGTCTTTCCCACTGTGTCCCCCACCAACCCCCCTCTCCCCTCCCCTGCAGCTGGTGGAGGAGTTGGAGCGGGAGTGCGAGCTGGAGGCACAGGCACTGCCCCAGGAGATCCGCTGCTTCCTCCAAGCTGAGCTGGAGGTGGGGGTGAGAAATGGGCACCCCCGGGCTGCCCCTCAGGAAGAGGAGGATGAGAGCACTGTGCTGTGAAGCAGCCGGGGGCCTGGCACGGAGCTCCTGCTGCGGAGAACACCGTGCTGGTTGACACGGCCTCCCCAGCCACTCCACGAGGGAGACCACTGCTGAGACGTGGGGTCGCCCTGGCGCCTCCACATCCTCTACAACCAGCATGTGCTGTGGGGGGAGAGGGAGGTGGCACTGTGCCCCCTCCATGCACTGGGCCAGTGGGGCACACAGTTTCTGCTTTTGGGGTGTTCTAAGAGGTGGGGGTGCAGGGGTGGGGGGCTACATGGGGTGGGGCCACTGCAAATACACTAAGACACACTTTTTTATACATTTTTACTTTTTTAATCAGCAACCCCCACCTTGATGCCTCTGGGGAGGCTGCCCCACAGATTATTCAGGGGGCTTGATGCTGCCAGGGGGCTGCCTCATTGTAAAGTGGGGGCTGTTCCCTGCCCTGACAACCCCCACCCAAAGATGAGATTGTGGGGGGGTAACCTGTTGAGCCCCCCCCCCCCCCATGACCTGGGGCTGATCCTTGGGGGAACCTCAGAGCAGGATAAAAAGGGTTATTTTTATATAAAATCTTTTTTAATCCTATTTTTTACTGATTTGTATCTTTGTAGTTTTTTTGTGGGGTGGGGGGGGGGCAGCTGGGTGTGACACTACCTCCTTCCCCAGGGACAGATGTAACATAAGAGCCTTTTATTCTTCTACAGATTATTTTGTATTGGGGGAGTGGATAGGGGGTAAAATGCCCCTGACTAACTTTTTTCCTGGCTGTCTGTAATGTGGAATTTCAATAAATCTGCCTGCAGGGAGTGACTAGCCTCTTCTCTGGTGGGGGGAGTCCTGCCCACAGAGCAGCTCCCCCTGTGAACCCAAGGTGCAGTGCACCTGCTGTGGGCTGGGCTAACCCCCCCCCCCCCCCAGCCCAGCAATGGGGGCGGGGGACCTGGGAAGGTTCTGTGGGTGGGAGGAGGTGTCATCCCCCTACACAGCTGCCGCTGACTCCCAGCTGGCACTTGGGAGTGTGAGAGGAGGGTCCCTCCCTGTTCAACTCCCCCACCCCCTTCACCAGGTTCACAGCCCACTGTAGTGCAGAGGTAAACACTGGTGCCTGGGTTGTCCCCCCAGCTAAGGGGCATGTCCCCGCTGGGCCAGCCCGTAGAGCTCTGCCAAAGGCCAAGGAATGTTGGTGCCTGTTGAAGCCAAAAGAAATGGCCCTCAGACCTGGTGAAGTGGCGGGAAAGGCCCCGTATCCCATCCCACGCTCCCCCAGCCAGTCCCCCCTGCCCTGAAGCACAAAGACACAACACTTTTAGTACAAAGTTTTATGTTTCTCTTTTTTTTTTTTTTCCAAACAAATGAAAGATGCAGGCACTGGGGGTGTGACGGGGAAGGGGGAACTACTAGGAGCAGGAAACATTGGGGGTCTAACCAGCCAGCAACAGGCAGACACAGACGGACAGATGGACAAGTGCAAACACATATATTGACTCACAAATGCTAACAAAAGGCAGACGCCAGGACAAGAGACCATGCACCGGAAGGGGGGTATGGCTGCATCAGTTATCTCCACAGCCCAGTTCTCCGGGGAGGAATCTGGAGCGTGGGGCTCTGTTGTTGTTGTTAAATACAAAATAAAATATTCTTTTCTATCTTTTTAAATAAAATCAACAGAATAGAAATCTGGGCTCTGTATGGGATGGAATGGAGAGGAGGGAATGAACCCCAATTTGTTGCTATTTTCATTAGCAAGACTTTGTGCTGTTTTGGAGGGCAATGGGGGTGACCCTAATATTGAATTTGGAGCCTTTTCCCCCACTGAGATCCCAGGGGGTTGTCCCTTGTCCCAGTGAGAGTCCATTAATAATGGTGCTTTTTGGGGGGACACAAGATTCCATGTGCTTGGGAGCAGGGAGGTTTAAAAACGAAGTGGACGAGAGAGAGACTGACCCTCTTTCCCCTGCCCCCTCTCCAATTTGTGTGCTGACCCTTGCAGCCCTGCGGGTGAGGCTGCTGCTGTGTGCTGGGCTGCTGCTGTGTGCCCAACTATCCTGCCACCTACAGGCATAGTTACCCTCTCTTGTGTCCTTGCTACCTCATGGCATAAGTGGGGAAACAGCTGGTGGCAGGGGCTTGGGGCAGGAGGGGCTCTTGGGTGTGGATGGAATGACCTTTGCCCCCAACTAAATCCAAAATGCACTGGAGGGGACAGTCTACACTTGGAATGTCCTTTGTCCCCTTTTGAACTGAGTGGGGGCTGGGGATTTCCCCAGAGCTGGAAGGGTGTCAGGGTGGGGAAAGGGGACTGCAGTGTGGGAGGCTTCCCCAGTTTGAGGGGGGGCAGGCAATGGGGGAGGTTGGAATGTCCTTTGCTCCTGCAGCAGCTGTAATGTCCCCTCACCCCCGAGCACTGAGCCGGGGGCATAGCCTCCCAGGGGTTGTGAGGGGCTTTCCCCAGAGCTGGTGAGTACTTCCCACCCCCAGCCAGAGGCCTCGCCTCCCAAGAACTGGGGCAGGACAGTTCTCCCCACCCAGAACTGAGGCTGGAGGGGGTCCCACCAGCCAGAGAATGGGGGTCTCCCCACCCCTCAGAAGCCCTGGATGTGGCAGTAAGCCTCCAGAGCAGCCAGCAGGATGTAGAGGAGCCAGAAACAGAAGAAGAGCAGGGCAGTGAGGATTTTGGGGGTGCGGGGACCCCCCAGCTCGCCCCCCACGGGTGCTCGGCGCCGGTACAGCAGCACAGCGATGCTCAGCAGGGCAAAGATAGTGAAAAGCGTGACGGAGAAGGCCAGCGTGCCCGGCGACACCACAAAGCGCTGGCCCTGGCTGGCCCAGTACCCGGCCGCAATGGTCCAGGCCACCCCTATGCCCAGGAAGACATTGACTGCATTACTGCCCGTCACGTTGCCGATAGAGGCATCCGCGTATTGGTCCTGGATTGCCGCTGCCCGACTGGCAAAGGTGTCTGCAATGGAAGAGGGCAGGTTAGTGGGGAGGGGGACAGGCCAGAGTGAAGTGTTAATGGCGGGAGAGGAGCTGATGGGGGAGGACAAGGGTGAAGCGTTAATGGGGGGAGGGGTTAATGGAGGCAAGACAGAGGGACAGCGATTAATAGGGTCAGGGGAAATAGAGTCAGTGAGGGTGCAGGGGGAGGGTTTGAGTGAGGCATGGGGGGTCACTGGGGCAGAGTTCAGTTAGATCATTGGAGGAGTGAGCAGAGGGGAAGAGAAAAGTTAGTGCAGGGGGTGATGCAGGGGGTGACATAGGGAAGGGAATTAGTACAGCACCCCACCCAATGCCTCATTCCCTACCACCCCCTGCTAACCAAGCATAGAACCCCCCGTCTGCCCCACTCCACCCCAAAACAGAGACCCCACCCTGCATGCAACACCCCCCTCCCACCACACGTAACAAAATGGGGATTTTCTGTATTATTTTTATGAAGCCTATGCGTGCCTCAGTTTCCCTCTGCACTTTGCATTGTAACAAATAAGTGTAAGTCTCCTGCGAAGATAGTGCAGGAGGCATGAGATGTGGGTGTTGCCTGGCTAGATGGGTGGAACAAACAGGGCCATTAAACAGGCTGAAACCGACCCAAATCCATGAGCATCCCCCAAGACAAAAAGATGCCCAAGGACTGAACCATCAACACCTAACACTCCGGGAAGACAGACAAGGGGGAGAGGGAGAGAGAGAGAGCGCCAGAGCTGCAGTCCAGCACAGCTTGGCTGTCCCATCAGATTTGACATGGGTAAGCTATGGCTTAACCCCTCCTCTGTGCTAACCTAGATACTTTTAGCTGCTGTAGCAGCCAGGTGACTCATCGATGGGAACCCCATTTAGAAAAGGCTGCCTTTTCAGTGCCCGGGGAGCATTGCAACTGGAAAGGGGCACAGTCCAAGCCTCCTGCTGGCTTGCCTGGACCTGCTGCAGGGAGTCCCAGAGAGATACAGGGAAAGCTCTTGCCGAAAGGCCCGATCTCGGAGGCCACAGGCCTGCCCCGGTGGAGCTGTGGGTCCCTGGGGCCCAGCCTGCTAAAGAGGTCACTCCCAGGAGACTGGTTATAGGCTTGGGCCATAGCCCTGACTCCGTGACACCAGGCACAGAGCCCCTCGCCCCATGGAGCCCCTGTGTGAAGTCCCCCTGCCCCACTCACCAGGCACGGAGGTGCCAAGGGCCACGAAGACCACGGCAGTGACTGAGTCCTTGAGGCCGACGGTGCAGCCGAAGTGCGAGGCCAGGTCACCAGTGAGCGCAGTGAGCACACCAATGAGCGCGATGGAGACAAGGAAGCAGGCCCAGCCCCCCCAGTACTCGGTGGGGGGCACGAAGGCAAAGAGAACCTTCCAGAACACCGTCAGGAAGTGCATGATGTAGTCGAAGCAGGACGGGAGCCGCTCCTCGCCTGTCTCGTCCTCGTCCTCATCCCCTGGCCGGGGGGGGAGAAGAGGTAAGAGTGGGATAACCCCCTGTACCCATTCCCACTGCCTCCCTGTAGCCCCCCAGTGCTCCTCACCCACTTCCTCATTGTGCCCTGGGGCAGGAGAGAATAGGGTCCCCCCCAAGTCCTGCCCATCCCTGGGTGGGGTGCACTCCCCCAGCCTCTCCTCCTCCAGCCCCACCTCTTCGTACCAGCGCTGACCGTCACGGCACTGACGAATTGCTCCCTCCAGCTGCTGCTCCCCACAACCAGTGCCAAGTTGGTTTTCTTGATCAGTTTGTCCACAGTACTCTGTGTGTGGGGGGGAATAAAGAGGGCTGAGATGGTGGGCACAGCCCTAAGCAGGGCCATCTCTAGGGGGTGTGGGGCCTGGGACAAATCAGCCCCCGCCAGCTTGGGGGACCCGCTGTGCATCAGTGGCAGCCTCCACGCCCCTAGTTCCTGCGCTATGTCTTCCAGAATCGACCGCACTCGCCAATTGCACCAGCCCACAGGACCCCCCAAAGCGCGGGGCCCGGAGCAGTCGCCCTGGTTTGCCCTACCCAAGGGACAGCTCTGGCCCCAAGGCCCATTGTGGGAGCTATGGCAATATAGGGGCAGAGCGGAGCAAAGCCCAGAGCCGAGATGCTCAATGGGGGGAGGCTGGGAGCTGCAGGAAGATGTTGGGGGCTGGTGGTGTACCTAGGGAACCGCCCCCTCACACCTGGGCTCTATGTGTGCCCCTCAATGGCTTCCTGACTTGGGCAGCCTTGTGTGAGGTATGTGGGGGGCAGAAGGACTCCTGGGGTAAGAGAGCAACTGTCCCTGAGTCTGGTGCATCATCCCTCTGCGCCCCATTCTGCTGTGCCAGAAAGGGCACTGGAGCAGACAGCACGTGGGGGGCAGGTATGGAGTGTGGGAGATGTCCTCTGGGGAGGCTGGTGGACTTGGTCTCTGGCCCAGCTAAGCAGGGGAAGGGAGGCTGGTGGGGTGCCTGAGTGAGGGGGGCAGGAAAGGTTGCACGGGATGCTGTGGGGTCTGGGGGAATGGGGCACCTGGGACATTGGAGAAGGGTGGTGTAGGGTGGGGGGGGCAGAAGGGGCACATGGGGAGCCAGAGGGATGGGGCAGAGGGGGCACAGGTAGTGCATGGGGGAGGAGGGAAGGGACACACTTGGGCACTTACCTTGAACTCATAGGACTCCTCAATCACCACCTCAAGTTTGGGGTGTTCCCCAAGGCTGGGACACCCCATCTTGGCGATGGCGGTCCCCTCCTCCCCCTCAGTGGGGCGGTTCTCATTAGAGTCACCTGTGGTGAGAAGAGGCAGAGGGACTGTTAGTCTCTGGCTTCCCCCACCCCACTTCCCTGTGCTGCCCAGCGCCCCATCCACATTGCACCCCCCAGTACCATGGACTGTGCCCTCCCCCCCGCCCCCCGTACCATGCCGCAGCCCCATCTCCAGCAGTTCAGGGGGCCCCAGCTCCAGGTGGAAATTCTTGTTTTTCTCATATTCCTCGTCATCGATTATTTTAATCTCGATGAATTTCCTAGAGGGAAAAATTGGGAGGCGAGGTGAGATGGGGGTGCTGGCTGTGGGGTACAGGGTGAGACTGGGGTGCTGGTTGTGGGGCACAGGGTGATAAGGCCGCTGCATGTGAGGAGCAGGGGGTGCTCATCCTGGGCTGTCTGCTCCAACTGGAGCAGGTGAGGGTCTGGGGCCCCTGATTTGGGGTGGGTGACCTTGCCCCATAAGGAGGGGGTTGTGCTACCACCTTAGCTTGTACACAATCAGCCCGCTACCCAGGCTGCCCCCCCCACTATCCCCTGCCCCCAGCTGGCATCAACTCAAAGCTAATTTGGGGCAGGTAATTACAAAAGGGAACAGCTGGGAACACCGCCCCACTGCTCCCTTCCCCCAACCACCCACTGAGCCCCTCCACTGCGACACCTCCCTGCCCACCCATCACCCGCCCCTCAAACAGATCTCTGTCCCCCCTCATCGCTCCCCTCCCTTCCCACAAATGTCAAGCAGCAGGTTGGGGGTTAATGGATGCTGCAGAGCTGAGTGCGGGAGAGGGGGATCAGCCAATAGGCTTGGGCCATTTGGGGAGGCGGCTCCAGGCCCCACAATCCCATTGGCCTTTAACAGAGCACAGGGGAATGGGCTGCTTCACCCCATTATTGAACCGGGGAGTCCCCCCAGCTCTGCAGGTGCCCCTCGATCCCACCCTTCTTGCTCACCCAGCCCTAGGCTCCCCCCACAGCTCTGTGGTGCCCCTCAATCCCAGTCCCATGCTATCCCAGCTGCGGGCTCCCCCACACCCCACATAGCTCTGTCTGTGCCCCTCAGTTCTACCCCACAGTCTACTGCCCTCCCAGCTCCGCTAGTCCCCCTCAGTCCTGATCCCCAGCCCCCTGCTATCCCAGCTGTGGGCTCCCTGCAAACCCCACCCCCCCGGATGTGGTCACTTGGGGATCAGGCCCTGGCAGCGCAGTCACTGGCTGTACCCGCCCCCCCCCGCGCGCCATCTGTTCTGCTCTCTAATTATGAGCACAAAGGGCCCTTCGCTCTGGCGGTGCTGGGAGCAGCTGGGGCGGTGTGGGGGGAGAAGAGCAGAGGGGGAGCAAGGGAGGTTTATCTGCCAGCTGTAGGGATCTCAGCACAGAGCGTCTCACATCCTCAGCACAGCCTGTGCCCTCCCCATACACCCCAGCTGGCCCTAATGTTCTCCCTGATCTCCACTATCACTGACCCCCAATACAGAGCCCTAATATCCCCCACTCCGCACCCTTGGCCTGAGCTACCCCGCTGCAGGCCGGCGAGCTCCTGGGGCAGCCCATGGCTGCGCCCCATTGATTTGCACCCACCTCACCTGAGTACTGGTGTGCTGGGCTCTGCTCCCGCCTGGGGGGCATGACCGCTCTCCCACCTGCTCACACTCACTGGTTCACCACCATCACATGCACGCCCCTCCCCCCTAATTGCACTGGTGAACAGGAGATCGAGGGCTCCCCCAACCCCTTGTCTGGGCTCATGTCTGGGGGGAAAGCTCACTGTTGTCATGGAGACACCGGGAGGGGTGAAGGGGGGGGAATTTATCCTTCTCTGAAATTAGTTTTCCATTTTCAGTGCAGTTGACTGAATTGGGGAGTGGGGTTGGGGGCAAGGGATGGAGGAGGAGAGCCCATGTTCAGTGTGGGGAAGGGGACTCGGTGCCCCCTGCTTTCCATTTCACCTACCAGTTGCCCAAGGAGGTTGGGGTTGAACCCCTGGTATCTGGAGCTGCAAAGTAGCTGCAACAAACATCCCCTGCTCCCAGCTCTGCTGAAGTGAAGATGCTCACGCACCCCACATGGGCTCCAGGCTCAGCCATTGGGGAGAATGGCTGCTCCAGCAATTGCCTCGTTCAGCCCCCTGCCAGTGCCCCTCCACACTGATGTGCAGCCCCCGGCTAGCCCAGCCTTGGGCTCTGCCCTCCAGCTCTGCCGGTGCTCCTCAGTCCCCATCCATGGCCCTCCTGTTATCCTTGGTTCCCTGCCAGATACCTGCTCCTCTGACCACCCCACACGCACCTTGTCCTTGACCCACCTTTCCCTGGCCATTGTCCCCCTCACATACACATCAGGTGCCCTTCTCCCTGCTATCCAGCACCCTGATTGCCCCCTCAGCAGCTGTCCCCTCCTCCCACTGCTCCCCCAAAGCCCTGCTGCCTGATCCTTGTAACCTCCCCCAGCCCCGTTCTCCCTCACCTTGCTGTCCCTGCCCTTCCCGACCTTGCCCCTTTGTACCTGCTCCCCTTCGGCGCTCCCCCATCTCCCCCCTCCATGTCTCTCACGTGATCTCGTCGTTGAGGAACTCCACCTTGCCCTCGGCCTCCTCATAGTCCTCCCCAGCCTTTGCGGTACCCTCCATGGTGCGGTAGGGCAGGGCCACGCAGCCCCGGGCCCCTGAGGTGCGCAGCACCCGCACCCGCACGGCCCCCACGCTCTCGCTGACCCGCACCGAGGCGCCCTCAAAGGTGAAGATGCCGGCATGATCGTCGTCGAAGATGGTGACGGTGGCAGTGGCGGCGGGGCCCAGGCAGGCCTTGGGGGGCGGCTCAGCGCCCGGCTCGGCCCAGGCAGCCTGCACGTTGCTGAGGTGCACGCGGAAGTACTCGTCCTCCTCGAAGATGTCATCGTCGATGATGCCCACGCGGATCTCGCGCTGCGTCTCTCCCGGCTTGAAGAGCAGCGTGCCCTCGGCGTACTCGTAGTCCGAGCCGGCATTGGCCGTGCCGTCCTCGGTGCGGAAATCCACACGCACGGCCATGCGGGCCACGTCACCACCGCGCCGCTCCACCGTCAGCACCACGGCACCGCAGTTCTCAAAGCACTGGTACAGCGCCGGCTCGAAGGTCACCCTGGTGAGCGAGTCATCGTCCTCGGGGCGCACCTCCGGCAGACTCAGCGCCTTGCGCGCCTGGTCGGCTGCGTGCTTCTTCAGGATGTTGCCCGCTCCGATCATCATGCGGGTAGCCTGGATGCGGTAGAAGGCCCGGCTCTTTTGCTGCTGCACCAGCACATGGTAGTTCGCCATCTCAATCAGCTGCTCCATGTCCTTCTCTGGGTGCTTCTGCCGCAGGTCCCTCAGGGTGCGCGCCATGTCACGCCGGGCCTCCTCGTCCCCGTCCTTGTCTGCCTCGCCCATTCCGCTGGCCTGGGCGCTGTCCAACTCCACCTCCAGCTTGGGGAGGGAAGCGTCGCCTTCTGTCTCAATGATCAGGCCCCGGGCCTTGTCAGCGCGGTACTTCTTCTGCATGTACCTGTAGAAGAGGAGGCGGCGGTCGGCCAGCCAGGCCTGCACCACGCAGATGGGGAAGAAGAGGAAAGTGAGCAGGCCTTCCCACACCTCCACCTCACCGGGGGAGAAGCAGGCCAGGATGAGGTAGAGCCAGATGTAGGCGAAGATGCTCCAGGCAGCCGTAACAAAGAAGACGCGCAGGTGCTTGATCCTGCGCGTCTCGCCCTCGGGCACCACGTGCACGCACACAGCGATGATGACAAACATGTTGAAGGCGGCACTGCCCACGATGGTGCTGGGCCCCATGTCGCCTGCCTGGAAGTTGTGGCCCACGATCTCGATGATGGAGAGCATGATCTCGGGCGCTGAGGAACCCAGCGCCATGAGCGTCAGGTTGGAGACTGTCTCGTTCCAGATGCGGATAGTGGTGGTGCTGGTCTCACCATTGGCCTTCTTCACAGTGATCTCTTTCTCCTGCGAGGTGATGACCTCGATGGAGGCCATGAAGCGGTCGGCAATGATGGACATGCCCAGGAACATGTAGATCATTGCCACGAAGTACACGATGGCCCGGGCCACCTTGTCGCCCACCGAGGGGTTCTGGGGTAGCCACACAGGCAGGATCACTCCCTCCTGGCACTCTGAGGCCTCCTGGCACAAGGTGCTGACATTAGCCCCATCCAGCGATGATGCTCCCTGGGTTGGACTCCTCAGCCCCTCCTCCACCTTGGCCTGGTGCAGCGGGAGGCTCAAGGCCAGGAGGAGGAAGAAGGTAGAGGCCCCAAGGTGGGACAGGTGAGGCATGGTGGGAGTAGGGGTGGGCAGGCAGGACCTGCAAGAGAGGAGGGGGCATAGTGAGGAATGAGGAAGACACATGGTACCTAGTGGGGCTGGTGGGGAGGAGGGCTGGGAGGTCATCCCCTTCCTTGTGGGCTGGAAGGGGATGGGTGCGGCTGCTTCCTTGTGACGTTGGGAGGATCTGGGGTAGAACAGGGTGCCCACTCCCTCATGAAGTGGAGGGGCAAAGCTAGGAAGAAGTGGTGGGTGTTCTGGATGGCACAGGCAGACCTGGGGCCACAGCATCCATCCATAAGGAGCAGCGGGGCCAGCCCCCCTCTGGGGTACTTCCCCCAGGGTCTACTCCTCCCCATCTTTCCCTCAGTTCCACCACCATGGCAATACCCACCCTGACCCTTTAACACGGGAGGCCGCAAAACATACTGCATCCAGCTCAGCCTCCATTGCCCACTGCATCTCCCTCCCCTCCTGGAGACAGGGCGTTGGTTAAAAACCCAGGAGTCCTCAGCTACTGGACCCACTCCCCTCCCAGGCTGGAAATGGAACCCAGGAGTCCTGGTTCCCGGTCCTCTCTGATCTTTGAGTGCGGGAGGCAGGAGAGGGAGAGGAGAATGCTGGGAGCCAGGACTCTTGGGTTCTCTGACTCTGTGTCCCATGATCCATGCCAGTGGTTCAAGGCAGTGCTGGTAGCTGGTTCACAGGACCCATCTGTGCTCAATGGGTCAAGAGACAGCACCAGTCAGACATAAATGATGCTTGGGCCCAGCTGGGCACCACAGGGCTGGTGCTTGCCCCAGATGGGTACTGAGAGGAGGGGGGCCCCTCGTGCCCTTTCCAAGCCCTGCTGAGCACCAGCTGCCCCATCAGGCTGCATTAGGGGGCTCTAACCTCCCCGCCATGGGGCAGCAGGATTGTCCCCATGGCAGGGTCAGGGGGAGCAGTTGGGAGTGACCCCCTCAGCCAGTTTAGTATACAGAGCCCAAACCCACACCAGTGCCCGTCCAACCAGGTGCTGGCAGAGCTTGTGAATGTGGTGTCTGCCCCAACTCCAGCCCCTCACTCGGCCTGTGTCCATGTGGGGGCGGGGGTGACTCCTTGGTCTTGGGGCTGGAGATACTGCAGGGGTTGACCCTTCCTCTGCTGAGTTTAATGGATTTTTAGGAGTCCCCATTAATTTGCTCAGGCGGTGAGGTTTGGTGTGGACACTCCCCTCCATCCCGGTGGGTGCCCACAGCTCAAGAACCCCCCATGCTGGCCCCCTCCTCCCCCCAAACTCCCCTCAGCTCACACTCCTCCCCTGTGCTGGTTCCTCACCCCCACAACCACACACACCCCTCATCAGCACCAACTGGGGACCCCCCAGAGATGGGGCTGGGGACCAGTGACTGGAGGAGCCCTCCACCCCGGGCCCTCCCTACCCCACTGAATGTTCCAGAAGCCCCCACTCTGCCTTGACTTCCATTCCTCCCACCCCATCCCCAGGGAGTTTGTGCCCCTTGCAATCCCCCATCCCATCCCCAGAGTCCCCCCCATTCCCGAACTGCCTTCCTGTCCCTGCAGCCTGTGCCAGGCTGAGCTATACCAGTGATCTCCCCATGACTTGGGATACAGGGCGGGTGGGGGGACTGGGAGCACTTTACACCCTGCAACTCTCCTCTCTCCCAGTTTGGAGATAGGAGCCTCCTCCCCATGAGGGGAGATGCCCTTTGCCAAGCGGGCTGCAGTCCTGCAAAACAACACACAGTGGGGAGGGGTTGCAATTCTCCCCAGGGTAACATTCTGCAAGCTAAATGTGGCCGTGCAAGGGTTGCACTAAGGGACAGTAGGGTGAGCAAGGAGAAACTCAAACGAGTGTAGCAGGGTTTCAGTTGTAGAGGGGTAAGTGTGCAAAGACTGTGCTGGTGAACATGCACAGGACCATCTTCCCAGGACCATCTTCCACAGACCTGGGGGCTAGGATTGCAGGAGTGGGTGGGGCTGGCTGGGGGGGCACATGAACTTCACCTCAGACCATGCCAGGTGCCTCCATACTGAACTCTTTGGCAGGGGGATGTCTCACCAGAGTGTGAACAGGACTGTGGAAGAGTATGCAAGGCACTGCTCTGGGTGCACGGGGGCCACGGGTGAGCATGCGAGGCGATGCATGGAGACCATGAGTGTGTGTGCAAGGCACTGCTCTGGGTGCACGGGGGCCACGGGTGAGCATGCGAGGCGATGCATGGAGACCATGAGTGTGTGTGCAAGGCACTGCTCTGGGTGCACGGGGGCCATAGGTGAGCCTGTGAGGCATTGCTCTGGGTGCATGAGGGCCATGCATGAGCATGCAAGGCACTGCTCTGGATGTGCAGGGATGTGGGAGCGTGTGCAAGGCACTGCTCTAGGGACCATGGATGACCATGCAAGGTGCTGCTCCAGGTGTGCAAGAGCCGTGGGTGAGCATGCAAGGCACTGCTCCAGGTGGGTCGTGGCTGTGGCTGACTGTGGGTTGTCAGTGTGTGACCGCATGCACGGGTGTGCACCATTAGTATAGGCCCAGGGTCCCTGTACCTGCAGGGCTGGGTGGATACATGCACCATACTGTTGTGTGTTGCACATACATCCCCCATGCAAAATGTTGCCCATGCATCCCCTCCTGTCCGCCCATGCAAGGCACTGCATGCATGCCCCCATCCCCTCAGTGCAAGGCACTTTCCGTTTGCTGTCCAGTTCTCATGCATGACCCTAGGCCACCCCAGTACTGGGGATGGCAGGGGAGCAGGGGGCGGCGATTACCCTGCCCTCCAATGGAGGAGATCACCTCCCTCCCCAAACAGAAGACAGCTGAGCCCAAGCTGTTTCAGGCAACAGAATTTCCTGGAGAGCTGGGGGAGGGGAGAGCCCCAGGGGCAAGATGACAGCAATGTGGGGGGCAGTGAGACCCGGAGTAGAGACTCAGTGCCCCAGGTTGGGGGAGATGTGGGGATGGCTCTGTAGAGGGGGAAGAGCCCCAGGTGGGGGCTCTTTGGGGGGGTAGGGGGAGCTCCCCAAGGTTGGAGGGGGAAGTTTGGTGGGGGGGAGCATCAGCTTTGGGGGGCAGTTCTATAGGGCAGGGGAGGGGCAGCCCCCTGCTGTCTGGAATATTTTTTTTAAATCCACAAAAGCCAGAGTCAGGCCCCTGCAGCCCAGTGCCATCTCTCCAACCCCCCACCCCTCTTGGGGCCAGGTCTCCTGTGCCCCCAGCCCCCCATACCAAGACACACACAACACATCCCAGCAATCTCACCCCGCCCCTTCCCCCCCCCCCCGCCCTCCCCCATGTGTCTGGGTCCTCCCCCTCCAGCAAGACAGCCCAGGAATGCAGAATTGGACACATGCAGACCAGCTCCCTCCATCCCCCCCAAATTTTACCTCTCTCAAATCCCCCCCCTTTTTTTTTTCTATGCACCTTTCCTCGATTGGGGAGGAGCTGCAAATAAATTCAGGGGGATTAAAGATGTAAACGAGGCAGGATTCCCCAACACCCCCCACCCGGAGCCCCCGGGGGGGTCTTCCCTGGGCATCAGTCAGGCAGGGGGAGCGGTCGCTTCCCCCCTCCCCCCAAGGCAGAGTCCACGCACCTCCCGGCTCAGATCCATGGGAGGCAGCTTTCCCCCGCAACCCCTCTCCCCAAGCTCCCGCTTACCGGACTGTGGGGTCAGGTGGCAGCACCACCTCCCCTCTGGGGCGGGCTGCACAGACGCTCCCCCTGCCGCTGCTCAGATCTGTGGGGAGCAAAGGAGCGGACCCCCGTTAGCTGGCGTTCGAGGGGGCACAGGGCTGCTCCTGGAGTCACTGGTCCATCCGCAGCTGGGAGAGGAGGGGGGGTCTGCACGATCCCCTCCACACCCTGTGCCTCCGCCCCTTCCCGCAGAGCCCCCCAGCCGAGCTCCCCCCCGATCTGGGGGGGGCCGGGGTCCCCTCTGCCGCCAGGCTGCGGGCACCAGCAAAACGGCGGAGCGAACCCGACTGCCGGGGACAGGCTGAGGATGCTCCCGCTGGCAGCTTCATGCTCCACCCTGGCGAGGGATGGCTGGCTGGGGAGGGCACCGTGTGCAGCCTGCAATGGGGATGGGGGGGTGGGGGCTCCTAGCACGGCCAGCTAAGCCGGGAGGGGGCCCCCACTGCAAAACAGCAGCACACCCTCACCCTGCCGCCGGAACCGAGATGGGGGGGGGAGCTCAGTGGGCGGGGGTCCTCATACGCTTCATTGCAAACTAGTAAACCCCCCCCCGCACCCACGCCTGCAAGTCAGACACTGACGAAGGGAGGAGGAAACCTTCCAGCTGCGCCTCTGCTGCTCCCCGACCCCAGCTCCCTCCCCCCCAATCCCTCTCTTCCAGACCCTGCCCCCCCCCCAAGCTCCATCCTACAAACGCTCTCCGGCATATGTCATCAGCCGCCAGTTCCCCCTCCAAACGCTTCCCCACCTGCCCTCAACCCCCTCTTGTTCTCCGGGGGATCCCCGCAACCCCTCTCCCAGCAGGGGGCGCTGTAGGGAGTGGTGGGAGAGCCGGCTGTGGGAGGATCTCCTGGCTTCTCCAGACCCGCCTCTTCCAGCAGGGGGCGCTGTAGGGAGTGGTGGGAGCGCTGGCTGTGGGGGGAGCTCCCAGTCACCCCCTTCCCTCTCCTATTCTGTAGTCCTGTCTGGCTGTTCCCCTCGTCGCATTCTTCAGACACCCCCATTGTCTGCGGCTCCCAGACGGAGGGGGAAAGAGTCCGTGTCCTTATCTGATCCCTTCCCCCCTGCTACTCCCCCATCTAGCCAGCTCCATTGCAAACCACCCTGGAGCTCCCAGCCCCCGTCCCACCCCAGTGAGCGGGGTGGGGAGGAGGGGGCATCTTCCTTCCTCTCCCCACTGTGAGGGAGGGGTCCCGGGAGTCCCCCTCTTCAGTGGGCGTTTTCCAAGCGTTTCATCCGGCGCGTGGCGGGAGGGCAGGATTATGCCCCCATACAGGTTTGTGGCGGTACCGGTTGCGGGGGTGCCTCAGGTATATTCCTCTGCTAGATCCGGCGGGGGGGGGGGGGAATTTGGCCGATGGGGGCAGGTCAGCATTGAAATCTGGGGTTGCAGCGGGGGGACGGGACTGAGAGGGGGCACAGGGTGGGAGATACAAGGCTGGAAGGTGAGGGGGTTCCATTGGGGGGTGAGGGAGATGTGGAGTGTGGAGGGGCTCCCAGGCGGGGTGGGAGGTGGGGGCTCCCAGGCAGTGGGGGAGGCGCTGTGGGGATCGGTATGAAGAAAGCTTCCGAGAGGGGGAAGGGGTTGCTGGACTATGGTTTCAAGCGAGGGTGCCCTCCTTGTACTTGAGGGGCGTCTATGGGGTTAGGGGTCAGGTGTTGCTTTGGGGGTCTGAGATGGGATCTGGGGGCCGAGGGGACACTCAGGGCTGAGGGGTGGTAATGGGGTCTGGAGCTGAGTCATGCGTGGGGGGGTCTCCCTTGGAGCGGGAGGTGATTATGGAGTCTAGGAGCGGATCGGGGTGGGGGGCGAGGGGGGAGCGCTGGCTCGGGATTCATTCACTCCTGCGCCGCCCCTCACCCCAAGCTGCTACTTCCAAACCAGCGTCCAGGCAGCGATGCGGGGCGTCCTCTGCTGGTCGTTGGCTGGTTCTGCACCCTGCAGGTTCATTCAGACTCCGCACCAGGGAGTCCAGTCCTGGCCCCCTAAGGAGAGCGGGGGCAGCAGATTTGGGGGGGACGGGAGGGGAGGCTCCCTTGGGGTTGGCAGGATGAAGGGGTCGGCGGGAAAGGGGTTCCCCGGGGTTGGGCAGGGAGGTAATGTGATCGGGAGGAGAGGGGACTACCGAAGGCGGGGGGCGGGGCAACAGGGAATAAGGGGTCCACCAGGACAAGGAAGGAGCAAGGGGCAGGGGCTCTCCTAGAGGCGGGATGGTAACATGGTAGGGGGGAAGGTTTGGGCAGGGGAGGGGGTTCACCCAGGGTCAAGGGAGGAAGGGGAAATAAAGAGTGGGGGTTCCATCTTCCACAGAAGATGAGGGTTTAATGTGACAGTGCTGGGGAAGGGGCAGTTCCCCAGGGTGAGGGCTGGTGGCTAACAGGGTAGGGTGGGGGGAAGATGTTGCCCATGGGATTGGGAGGTTAGCATGGTTGTTGTTGGGTCCTGGGGCTGGGGAGATTCTGCCCAGGTGTGGGGCTGAGTGCTGTGCTAGGGGCCCCCAATAAGGCAGAAGCTCTACCACAGGAGATGCCCACAGCAGAATGCACATGTCACAAATATGTTGCCATGGGTTGTCTGTTGACCCTTAAGAACAGAGACATAGCAGGCGGCATGCAGGTAGAAACCATGCAGCAGTAAAAGCTCATAGTGCACATACTGAGCATGCACCTTGAGGTGCAGGCATGCAGTATGGGTACATGCATGCTGTTGTGCACCCTGGTTTATAGCTGAAGCGCAGGGATGCAGTGTGGGGTTGGTGCATGCACCATGCTCTCTGATTTATTACTAAGATGCGGGAGTGTAACATGGGGGTACATGTGTGCACCAAGGATTTATACAGGGGTGGAATGTGGGGTACATGCATTCACCCTTCATTATTTGTATTACTGTGGCACCTAGGTTTCAGAGTAGCAGCCGTGTTAGTCTGTATTCGCAAAAAGAAAAGGAGGACTTGTGGCACCTTAGAGACTAACCAATTTATTTGAGCATGAGCTTTCGTGAGCTTGAAGTGAAGCTCACTTCACCGATGAAGTGAGCTGTAGCTCACGAAAGCTCATGCTCAAATAAATTGGTTAGTCTCTAAGGTGCCACAAGTCCTCCTTTTCTTTTTGTAGCACCTAGGAACCCTAGTCATGGACCAGGACCTCATTGTGCTAGGCACTGTACAACTGGAACAAAGACAGTCCCTGCCAAAGCCCTTCCAATCTGAACAGATGAATATAAACAGATGAGGGAGTACAAAGAAACAGAGGCAATATTGGCCAGCATGATAGCAGCGGTCTCAGCAAACTCTGCGCTCTGAATTATGCCCATGGGGCATGCTCTGTGTGCCACAATTTATAGCTAAGCCTCAGATACAGTATGGGGTATATTCATGCACCTTTATACCCGAGGGACAGGGGGTGCAGTGTGGGGTACGCACATGCAGCATGCACCCCAATTTATACCAGGGTACAGTGTAAGGTACATACATACACCCTGATTTGTACCCAAGGCACAGGGATACAGCGTGGATACATGCATGCACCATGCAAACTGATTTATAGCTAAAAGGCAGGGGTGCAGCGTGGTGCACCCCGATTTATGCCTGGCCCGGAGGGGTGAAAAGTGGAGTATTAGCACCCCACTTTATTCGTGAGGCGCAGAAGTGCAGCGTGGGGTACGTGCATGCACGATGCAGCCGGACAGATCTAAAGCCCCAGGGTTGCATGTGTGCACCCGGGGAAGCTGCATGACTGCAGCAGCGCACCCCGCCCGGACCCCGCTCGACAGCAGCCGGACAGCTCCCTAGTGCGAGCGGCGCGCGCTCCCTCTTTCACTTCTTCCAGCCCTTGCACCAGGAGCTCCGCCCCCCGACGGGGATTGGAAGGTCCCGGCTCCGCCCCTGGTCACGTGGAGGAAGTTGCGCCGGAGCCATGGAGGAGGCGGGGGCGTCGCTCGGGTGAGTGAGTGTGTGTGTGTTGGGGCAGCGTCCCGGGGGTCGCCGCCGGCGGGGCGGCGCCTGGGCCGTGGGCGGCCGGACTCTGGAGGTGGGTGCACTGGCTCCCCGGGGCGAGGGCGGGGCAGGGTCAATAAGCGCATCCCCTCCACCTCGCACGGTGCGGATCTGCGCTGGCATCTCGTGCACCCTTGCGGTGCAGGCTAGGGCGAGTCCCGCATCCCCCTCGCGCACTTGCGGCGGGCAGGTTCGTATGCATATCCCCGTGGATGCTCGTGGCGCAGACGTGCATGGGCGTCCCCTCCCTCTCGTGCAGGCTTGTAGCTCGGCTTTGCATGCACACGCCTTCTCTCCAGTCACTGCCCTGAAAGCGGCGGTGGCGTCCCTAACACCTGCATTTATTCCTCCCGTAGGCCCACGGAGCAGACTGTGCAACTGAACAGTGGAACCCGAATGCCCCTGCTTGGCATGGGCACTTTCCGCCTGCAAGGGGCTGAGCTCGTGTCCCAGTGTGTGGACGCTGCCCTAGCCCATGGCTACCGCTCCTTTGACACAGCTGCTGTCTATGGCAATGAGGCAGCGATTGGGCAAGCACTGGGTGCCCTGCTGCCCCATCATAGCCTAGCACGCTCTGACATCTTCCTCACCACCAAGCTGGGTCCACGGGACCAGGGCAAGGTCGAAGCCGAGGCTGCCTGCCTGCGCAGTCTGGAGCAGCTGGCCTGTGGCTACCTGGATCTCTATCTCATCCACTGGCCAGGCACACAGGGCAAGCCCCAAGGGGACAAGGGCAACCGGGAGCGGCGCTGGGAGAGCTGGCGGGTGCTGGAGCAGATGTACCATGCTGGGCACCTGCGGGCGATAGGCGTTTCCAACTACACCCTGGGACACCTGCAGGAGCTGCTGGCCCACTGTCGGGTGCCGCCAGCTGTGCTGCAGGTGGAGTGCCACCCAGAGCTGCCCCAGCGGGAGCTGTGGGACTTCTGCCAGCAGCATGGCATCCATCTCCAGGCCTATGCCTCACTGGGCTGTGGGCAGCTGTTGGGGCGGGCAGAGGTAGGGCGGGTGGCGGAGCGCCAGGGACGTACCCCTGCCCAGGTTCTTCTACGCTGGGCCCTGCACCAGGGTGTGGGGGTGATCCCCAAGTCTGTCAACCCCACCCGCCTGGCTGAGAATGCCCAACTTTGGGGCTGGGACCTCAGCCCGGAGGACATGGCTGAGCTGGGGGCGATGGACTGCAGCAGGCACTACTGCTGGGACCCCAGTGGAGTGACATAAAGTGGAAGGTGCATGTGTGTGGGGGGAGGCATGGTCAGGTGTGTTGTTGGGGGTAAGCATGCGTGGCAGGGGGCAGTGTTGCAGGGGGGAGGGAAGATGGAAGGAACTCGGATGTGGTGGCAGGCACATGTGGCTGGAGAGGGTGGTGCTGCTACAGAAAAGGGACAGGGTAGCAGTTGTGTGTGGCCAGGGGAGGCGGTGCTGCAGGCAGGGGGCAGGGTGGCAGGCATGCTTGGCTGGGGGGGCAGTGGTGCAGGAGGGGAACAGGCTGGCAGATGCGTGTGGCTGTGGCCGGGGGGGCTGGGGACACTGCAGGAGGGGGACTGGTTGGTAGGCGCATGTGGCCGGGGGTGGTACTAAACAAGGGGAGTGGGTAACAGGCGCGTGTGGCTGGAGGGTAGTGCTGTGGATGGGGGAGGCAGTGCTGCCGTGGGGAAGCGCAGTGGCAGGCGTGCATGGTTGCGGGGACGGTGTGGCTGGGGCGGGGAAGGCAGTGGGGAGCATAGGTGTCTGTGTCTAGGATTTGGAAGGGGGGCACCTGTGACGGTGGCTGTACCACCACAACAGAGATGCAATAAAAACTAATAAAGGTAGCCATAGAAAATACCTGTTTTTTATTACAGCTTCCCCGGATAGTGTAAAAAACCCAGCCTCTTTCCCCCTGTCCCCCCAGAGATATATGTCAGGAGTCACCCTATGGAGAGACAGGCAGCTGCCTACCCCCAGGGTTGGGTAGGGGGGAGTTTGGGGGAATATGCTCCATACAGAGCTCCCCCACATCGCCCTCCTCCCAGGAGACACTGGCATCCTGCAGAGTTCGGTTCCATCACCCCAGCAGGGAGGCTGCAGTCACTTGGAGCTCCTAGGGGGGGCATCACGGGCAGGTCTGTGCCCCAACCAGGCCTGGAGGGTCTCTTTCCAGCTGTTCCCCTGGTGCATCTGGGATGTCGTGCCTGCACTCTTGGGGCGTGGAAGCACCTGGAGGGGGAGGGCGACAGTGAGAGCCCAGTGGGGACACCCCCCTGCAAGTGCCTCCTCCCATTGCAGATGCTGACCCTACATAGCAAGCCCTCCCATGAACACCCCCCCCACTGCTCCTCTGGCAGCCCCCCGCCTCTACTGCCCTCCCTGATGCTCCCCCACTTTCTCCCTGGTCCCTCTGCAGTGCTCCATGCCTGCCCCTCCCTTGTGTGGGTGAGCCAGCTGGCTGCCTCTCTGATGGGCACTGCATGCTGATGGCCCTGGCCAGGTGACCAATGCCACCCCACCTAATCTGTGTGTGGGGGAGAGAAGGATGGACCCACCTCCAGTGGGTGCTGGAAGGGTTCCTCTGATGTGAGTGAGGAAGTCTTTTTAGCTTCCCAAATCCTCCCCACCCCTGCCCCTCGGTCCCCAGCATCTTATGGGTCCCTTCCCAATGCCAGCCACAGGTCTCTGGCTTGAGACCGGGGAGCCCATTGGGTTGGCAGTTTGAGTGCAACTGCCCCCCAGGGATTGTGCCCTCCTTTCTCCCCTGTTTCATCTTCCCATGGGGGTCATCCCCTCTCCATGTGCCCCCTGCCCCTTCTAAACACATCTCACCTGCAGCGCCACGTCAAACTCATCACTCATCCTGCGCAGCTCCCGCCCATAACGCATGGCAGCCCAGAGGATGGGGGGGGCTGAGCGTGAGCGTGCCCGGAATGCCCCACCTGGCTCATCCTGCACTTCTGGCTCCAGAGATGGGGGGTCTGACCCTATCCGGTTTCGCAGCTCTGGAGGGGCAGGGGGAAGAAATTGAGGGGTTGGAGTTCAGGGACTGATACACCCAAACACACCCACAAACCTGGAGGGGAAGGCTGGAAGCCCTGGCATTGGTGGGGAAGGGGCAATGCTTTGTGAGGATGGGGAATTCCCCCAGAAAGGTCTGGAAGCCCCACGTAGGGGATAGCTAGGAGAGGGGGACTCCCCCGAGCTGTGTGTTACAAGGGGCAGAAGCTCCTCCCCATGGAAAGATCTGTGACCCCATTGTGGACAATGCTCGGGGGTGGGAGGATGAGCATGCTGAGACTAGGGCTGCCCTCTCCAGTCCGCACGCGGAGGGGTCTCACCAGCTGTGGGGGTGCCTGGCTGCTTGGAGCCGGGCGTGTGTGCCTGCTGCGACTCCGGGGGAGCAGCCGACTCCTTCCCTCGCCCCGGGAACACCTCGTCCGGGAACTCCTGGATGCGAAACATGCTCAGGGGCGGGGCATGGCGCCCGGGCGCCGCGCTGCAAGAGAAGGCGGGGATGTCAAGGGGTGCATAGCCCCGGGCCCCTCACTCGGGAAAAGGGGCTCCCCGACATATACCCCCGGGACTGCCTGATCTCACAGGGCCCCTCCGCACCCCGGGATCTACCCCCCTCAGCACCTGGGATTCCCCTCTCCCACCCTCCTGGGGTTGTATCCCGTCCCACCTCCAGCCCCCCCAGTCTCCCCCTCAGCTCCTGGGATTTCCCTTCCCTCACTCACCCGCGGGGGGGGGGGGGGGAATGCTATCAATCAATCAATCAATCCTTCCTATTTACACCCGGGATCGCGGACCCAGCCACAGTCACCCGGGCAATAGGGACTGACACCACCCGTGCCCAATCACAGATTCCCTACATCACGGGGGGGAAGCCCTGCCCCTTAGTGACCTCAGTCGGCCCCGTCTCCCGCCCCGAGTTCATGAGGCTGCCTGCGCCAACCACCCCGTCAATCTCCCCGCGAGCGGGGCAACTGGGGTGTGGTCGCTGAAGGGGGCGCTAGGGTGGGGGCACAGGGGAGTGCAGAGGCGGTGGCGGGCACTGGGCTGGGGGGAGTGACATGGCGGGTGCAAGGGTTCTGGGGGGCTGTTCAGGGGTCACTAGGGTGGGAGCGCTTCATTTGCCCGTAGCTAAGATGGCGGCAGGAAGTGGCGCTCTCGCCGACCTCACGTCTCGTTCTCTATGGCCGGGACTCTTCCCGATTTGCCTCACGCCGCTTGCGCGGGGGGTGGAGCCGTCTCCAGCGTGGGGGTGGGGAAGGTTACGCACTTCGCGTAGCTAGTCGCTGCCGGCTGCTGTCATCGCCGCTGCCGAGGCTGCGAAACCCAGGCGTCCGAGGACTCTAAGGCGGGGGTCTCTTAGTGGGAGGCGGTGAGGGACCCTGGCGTCCGAGGACCCGGGGGAGGGAAAAGGGAGTGGGGGAGCGTTAGGGGACCCCCAAATTGGGGGTACTTTGAGGAACCCTTTGAAGAGGATACGCCATTGGGGTGGGTCGGGGGACCCAGGAGTCCGGGCACCTTCGTGCTGGGGCGCAGCGGGAGGGGAGCCCCTAAGTGAGGGCCCCCAGGCTGGGGAGAAGGAGTGGGGGACTCTGTAACCTGGAGACCCTGGTGTCTAGTGAGGCTGGGGAGGGAGCAGAGAAGAGCCCCATAGAACAAGGGGAGTATTAGGGTTGGGGGCATTCCCCTCACGCCCGGCAGGCCCAAGTCCTCCCTATCGCCCTTTAACCTGGGCTGCCCCCTCTCCCCCCATGAAGCAGCCTGAGCCTGTCGGGCCCCCCCTGGCCTCTCTTGCCCGAGGACTTTGCCCCTTCCTGTGGAGGAGGCTGTGATGTCCACAGCCGGTGCTGCTGTTGGGGAACTGTCGTGGGGGGGGGGTGTCCAGGGTGGGCTGGACCCCCCCCTCCACATACATCCGCGGGAGCTGGTTCTCCCTCCCTACATGCTGGACTCAACACTTCAGAAAGGGAATTGATCTCTTGACACGCTGTTGTCCCAGACAGCAGCGGTACCCCCAGCCCAGGACACATTGTGCCCCCCCATAGCACTGGCACCCCCTGCTCAAGACAGACAGATTTCCCCTAGGGAAATACCCCAGGACAAGCTGTGCCCCCAGCAATAGCACCCCTGAGCCCAGGATAAACTGTTTCTCGCTGTAGTAGGGCATCCCCCTTGGCCCCTCAAACCCACTCTGCTACAATCCACATCCCCCTGGCACCTTTCTTTCTCCATACCAGCCTTGCTATATCCTCCCCTGGCTCTCAGGGGATGCCTCCCCTCATAGCCCTCTTCTAGCTGGGGTCCGCGCGCCCTCCCCTCAGAGAGACGGCTGGGCATGGAGCAAGCTGCCAGCAATCTGACGGTGATTGTGCCAGCCCAGCGCCTGACACCAGCTTTCCCCCCGGCCGTCAAGCTGGGGCTCACGGCGCTGTACACAGCGCTGTACGCCCTGCTCTTCCTCTCAGTCTATGCCCAGCTGTGGCTGGTGCTGCTCTACCGGCACAAGAAGCTCAGCTATCAGACCGTCTTCCTCTTCCTCTGCCTGCTCTGGGCCACCCTCCGCACCACGCTCTTCTCCTTCTACTTCAAGAACACTCTCAAGGCCAACCAGCTGGGCCCCTTCCTCTACTGGCTGCTGTACTGCTGCCCTGTCTGCCTCCAGTTCTTCACCTTGACGCTCATGAACCTCTACTTTGCCCAGGTAATCGGGGGGAGGGGGGGGGGCGCTGCACTGCTCAGCCCTGTGAGTAAAAGCCATCAACTAAGGTTTCCGCACAACTTCACTTTTCCTTGCCTGGCACTTCCCAGAGCTGGGGATGGAACTCAGGAGTGCTGGCTGCCAACCCTTTCTCTAACCACCAAACCCCACTCCTCTGCCAAAGCTGCGGACAGAACCCAGGAGTCCTGGCTCCCGGCTCTAGCCCGCTAGACCTAATTCCCCTCTCAGAGCTGAGGACAGAACCCAGTAATCCTGACTCCCAACCCCCTACCTGCTGTCTAACCCACTAGTCCCCACTCCCTTCATATGCTGCTTGCGTAAATATATGTGGAGGTGCCCAGACACCCCAGTGATGGGGTCATAGGAGTGTCCAGACTCCAGAGAGTTGTGTCCTGCTATGCTGAGTGCCTGGTCCCTGCCCCATGGAGAGGACTTCAGCATGGGCCAGAAGATCAGTTGGGGGGTTAGGGGGAGGGAGTGGAATGGAGGGAGGGGACTATTTGGCTATGGGGTTGAGGAATGGGAAACAGGGTCTTTCCCCTCTAGGGTGCACTTGCGCCAGTCTGTCCTAGACAGGGCAGGGAGGGGAGGAGAGAGGGGGAACTGGCTTGTTGAGAGGTGTGAGGAATGAGATATGGGACCTTTCGCCTCTAATGAAATCCTGGCATTAGTGGTGAGTCTTGTGGGGGATGAACAGGCCTCAGAGACCCAGCCTCTCTCCCTTTGGAGTGGAGGGGCTGCACATGGGGGGGTTGCTGCCATGCCCCCAATTTTTCCTGCATCCCTGCTGGCTCTGGTGCGCTCTGACCACAGCTGGGTCTGGCTTGTTGGGAGCTAGGGGGGTATGTTCTGTTCGTTGATGTTTTGCAACTCATCTCCCTTGGACTCTGCCTCCTCAGCCATGCTGCGCGGGGCATGCACTGGTGGAGGGGTGCCCGTTAGGCTGTGACCCTAACTCTGCCCCCCCTTCCCTAGGTGGTGTTCAAGGCTAAAGCTAAGTACCACCCGAACATGACCAAAGGGCTGTGAGTATCTCCCCACACTCCCCCCCGCCCCATATCCATGCGGTCACTTACAGGCCCTCCACGTCCCAAGCTGGGAATAGAACTCAGGTGTCCTGCCACCACTGGAACCCACTACACCCCCTCCCCTTCCAGACCCAGGGATAAAACCCAGAAATCACTCAGCTGAAATGGGGCCATCCCACCCCCAGCCTGATTCCGTCTCCCACATTCCCTGGTGCTGGTGGTTTTGGCCTAATGGGCATAGAGGCTCTGTGCTCACCCCCCTTTCCTGGGCAGGGCTGGAACAAAGGCTGGTGGGGGGAGTGGGATTGGGCTGGCTCCCTGCGTGGGCACTCCCCCCCCCCCCCCCCCCAGTAGCATCCTCTGAGCCCAGCAGCAAAGCTTCTTAGGGGATTGAGCTGGGGGGAAGGAGAGGGAAGCTGGAGAGATGAGGGAGGGGCAGGGATGGGAGACTGTGGTGAGGAGGGGATCTGGGGAGAGTGGGAGGGGCAGGAAATGGAGTAGGAGAGCTGCACTGAGTGGGGCAGAGGGATCTGGGGAGGAGGGAGAGCTGTGCAGAGGGATCGGGTAAGGACGGGGCAGGGGAGCTGGTGGGGAGTGGAAGGGACCTGGCGGAGTGGATCTGCCCCCCCAGGGCAGGAGGGGAGCAGTACGTCTCTAGGCTGGCCCTCCAGTCTCAGTTTCTCCTGCAGGCTGGCTGTGCGGGGGGCCTGCCTGGGTGCTAGCCTGCTGTTCCTGGCAGTGAATGTGGCCTGTGCTTTTGTGGTGCGGATGGGGCGGGCCGAACCCTGGGCCGTGGTGCTGACCCGTGTCCTCATCAACGACTCACTCTTCGTGCTGGGTGCGATCACCCTGGCTCTCTGCCTCTGCCTCGTGGCTCGCGGCTCACCAAGCACCAGCCTCTACCTGCAGGCCAAGGTGGGACACATCCTTCTCCTCTAGGGAGCGCTGGCTCCAATCCAGCCCCAGAGCCGGGGCACTGGCTGACTCAGGGTTAGGGATGGTATACGGGGCCCTTCACCTCTCGGAGGCGCTGACTCCAATCTGACCCCAGGGTTGGGGGGAATGGGACATGGAGCTTACCTCTGGGGGGTGCCATCTGGCACTGGCCAGAGACCATGCTACCTGGGTGGGTTGGGGGGGGCCCACAGGCCTGATAGGAATCCTGTGGGAATGGGTTGGGGAGGTTGGGTCCCAGGAATGGTGCCTGCATCTGTCTCCCTCCCTCCCCAGGGCACCACAGTGTGCCAGACAGCAGCCATGGGTGGCACCATGGTGCTGCTGCACGCCAGCCGTGCCTGCTACAACCTGGTGGCTCTGGCGTTGAGTTCCCACACCCGGCTGGACTCCTTCGACTACGACTGGTACAATGTTTCAGACCAGGTCAGTGCAGACAGGGAGGGGGGTGGCACCGATGGAGAGGCGGGGGGGGGCCTGCAAGGTGTTGCGGGGTGGAGGTGGCGGAGCCAGGGGAGTGAGTGGCTCCAGAGGGCTGGGGGGATGGTGCATATGGGGGATAGTTGGGGGGAGGCTCCAGGACTTGGTGGAGGGTGTGGTTCAGGAAGGTTAGGTGACTCGGTGGGGCTGCCCTTCCATGGAGACTGGTGTCTTTAGCTCTTTGTTTGGGGGAGTTGGGCACAATCTCTCCCCACTGTTTGCTCTCTGTCCTTGGGGGGCAGCACCTCAGCCTTTCTGCAGAGCCTCATTTTGGCTGGTGAGGATTTAGGGGGCACCCAGGGCTGGTGGCCAGACCCCCAAAGGAATCTGAACTGTCTCCTGCAACCCCTCCAGGCGGATCTGATTACTGACCTGGGGGACCAAGGATACCTGGTCTTTGGCCTCATCCTCTTTGTGTGGGAGCTGCTGCCAACTGCCCTGCTGGTGGGCTTCTTCCGGGTGCACCGCCCTCCCCAGGACCTGGTGAGTGGGGCAGCGGGAGCACAGGATTGTGGGAGTGGAGCAGGGCCTGCTGGGTTAATTTTGGAGGAATAACTGGACACAGAGAATCAAGGATGTTTGCGTGACCCTGGCACTGTCTAGCTCTAACCAAGGTTTAATTGGGGTTTTGAGTACAGAGACCTTGGTCTGCTCAGCCCCATGGCAGCCACCCCATTAAACACCCTCTGAACCTTGGGTGCCAGATACAGATAAGGGAGGTGAATCAGTGAAAGTGTTTGAAATGTGAAGAGGCCAGACTTGTAACTGCAGCCCTTGTGCCCGTTCCCCTCACGGGGGAGTTTCTGGAAGGGCAAAACCCGTCTGGCGGCCTCTGAGGTGCCAGTAAAGGTGTAATAATGCCCCGTGGTGGGGAGCAGAAATTAGTTCAGACAGGTTGGGCTGCTGTCGTTGCTAAGGTCCCACCCTGGTCCCTAGAAAACAAAACAAGACAAACACACAATAGGAAATTAAAACTCCCGGCCAAGTGAGAAACGTGCCCTCTGTGGAGCCGACTTTCACCTGCACCCTCTCTGCTGGAGAAACACAGGCTGGGCACAGGGCCCCCCCAGCTGCTCCGGGCTCCTCAGGCCACTGCTTTGAGCTGCCTCTTTGGTCATAGGTGTGTGGCAGAGTTGCAAAATATGCAGTGTGGGCTGGCTAAGCCAGCCACTCATTAGACAGGAGGCATAAGGAGAGGGAGGGGAAAGAGAAGAAATAATGGGGGAGGGGGAGAGGAGAAGGACGCATGGGGTGGGGTGACAGTCTGTCTCCCAGGAGGTGTTTGGATTTAATAAAGCTGGTGGAGATGTCATCTGGGTCCGTCTTTTTCCCGGTCTGATGAAAGTATCTCCTAGGGTCAGGATGACAAAGGCCCAACGGTGTCATGGTGGATCCAGAGGTCCCAGGAGATGGGGGAGCAGCCAGCCTCTTCCTGGTCTCCTGTCTCAGTCCCTCGGTGTTATCAGCCTGTTTCTTCCGTCCCCAAAGTCTTTTCTTTGAAGGGCCCCAGAAGGGAGTGAGGGTCAGGACAGCCCAGCCCCTCGTATTTTGTCCACCAGTTAGGTCTAATTTCCAACACATCCATTTTGGTCCCTTGATTTCTGGGCCGACAAGTCTTCTGTTTAGCAGCCCTTGTGTTAAATCTGTTGGCCTACTGCTCCGTTTGCTCCTTTCCCATCAGCATTTTCTGGCCCCAGCTCTTGTGACATGTTCTGAGCTTGCGCTCCCTTCTCGCAGTCAGGGTGGGTTTGCAGGTCCACTTGTTATGCCAGGCTGGGGAGGAGGAGGCGTAGCCTGCTGAGATGTCAGTTAGCAGCTTCTGGGGTCAGGAAGGGCCCACCCCCCACAGTGTGCCGCCCAGCAATGGGGGATTCCCCAACCCACTCCTCATGGCACAGTGTGCTGGCGCAATATAGGGGATCCTCCTCCTCTGTGGGGCAGGACTGTTACAGCACAGCAGGTGGGGGGCAGGTCTGATAGGAGTGGGGGACCCCACAAGGTGTCGCAGGCCTCAACCTGGTAGGGGGGATCTACACACACACACACCCTCACAGAACAGCCTTTGTCCTGTGGGTCAGCCTGGTGGGTTGCAACCACCTGGGGAAGGGGGAGGGCTGTGAAGAGAAACCTGGCCTCCCCCCTCCAGTAATAGCCTCTCTCTTCTCTCCTCCACCCCCCCGGCAGAGCGCCAATCACATCATCAATGGGCAGCTCGGGGGCTCCCGGTCCTACTTCTTCGACCACCCCGGGCAGTATGAGAATGAGGGGCCCCCCCGCAGGAAGGGAAGCAGGTAACCCCCCCAACTTTCCAGTCCCCCAGGCAGTACCAGAGCGAGCCCCTCCCCGGGGGGAGACTAAATGGGTGGGAAGGGAGCCCCAGGGTCCTCCTCCCTCCAATGCGGTTTAAGGCCCATGGAGGAGAACTGACCCCCAATGGGGTCTCACTGCTGGGGTGCTGGAGCACTGCATGCTGGGAGCTAACCCCTCTGGATTTGTGCCTGCTGGGGCTCTGCATGGGGTGGGGTGGGGCAGATGGGGGGGACCCTGTTCTGGGGAGTGGGATGGGGGGGATGATACTTTGGGGGTGGATCCCCCACCCCATGTAACTCCCCCCCTCTGCCTTGCAGCCTGGCAGGCCGACTGGGCAGCGGCAGCTGGTATGGAGCCATTGGCCGAACAGGGAGGGATCCGGACTGGCTGGGGGGGCAGCCCCCCACAACCCCCCTGCTCTTCTCCCAGGTCACTGTGCAGGCCAGCCATCACCACAGCCTCTACTCCACCCCGCAAACATAGGTGCGCCCCCCACCCCGTGCGTCACAGGAGGACGTTGGTGAAATGCGGGCACGAGGACTCGACAGTGTGGAGGGCGGTGGGATGTGGAGGGATGAGTTCAGAGTGCGGGAAGTGGAGGGGACCCAGCTCTGTGCACCCTCCAGCTGAACATTCCCCAACCAAACCGCGCCCCCCCATTGCACAGGGATGGCTCTGGCACCACCCCACACGCTGCAGCCTCTGAGGGCGCAGGCCAGTTTGGGCAGGGATCCCAGTGTCCCCCCGTGGGACAAAGGAAGAATGGACTGTTTCCTCCCTCTGCCGCTGAATGTGCTGCAGCATTGCATGTCAGGAGTTGCCCCTCTGGATTCATGCCTACAGCTGAACCATCCCTGGGGGGTCACGCTGTCGTGGGGTGCCAGACTGTGGCTCAGGTGCCAGCTCGTGCCCTCCGATGCACGCCAGCTCCTGGCTTCTCCGAGAGCTCTCCCCAGCGCTGCCCTCGCATCCCAAGGCTTTGGTGCTGTCCTGTCCCTCCACCCCAGGCTCAATAAAAGGTTTGTGTTTGTGGCACAGCCTCTGTGTGTGGCTTTTGTGGGTGCGGGGAGCCAGGACTCCTTGGTGGCTCCCAGCTTGGGGAGAGTGGAGTCTAGTGAATAGAGTGGGTTGGGGCTGAGAGCCAAGACTCCTGGGTTCTGTTCCAAGTTCTGGGAGGGGGAGTGGTGTCTAGTGGTTAGAGTAGGGTGGGGGCTGGGAGCCAGGACTCCTGGGTTCTGTTCCAAGCTCTGCTACAGACTGCATGAGCTGCAGCAGGTAGTTTTCCCCGGCGCCCCACCCCCCGTTGGCTGGCACAAGCAATGTGTGTGACTGGGCTACATGGCTACCCTCACTCCTTGGACTTTAAACCCCCATCTTGATGGGGTTAATCAGCAACCTGTCCCCACATTGGCCCAGCATAGGTGGGGAAGAGAGCCATGCCCTGGCAACCCTCCCCACGTGGCTGGAGCTGCCTGTTAGTCTGGGAGGAGCATTGCCCCCAGAGCTGCCCTGTATTTATTCCATCTCAGCCCCCCTTTATATTGCCCATCCTAATCCTTTCTGCCTCTCGCCCTGCAGGAGTGGCACTGTTCCTCCTCCACCGCAGGGCAGGTGCTGTTACCCTGCCTGCCCCTGCTAATCCCTCCATAAGCTGATCCAATGCTAGAGCCAGCTCAGCCAGGCGCAGGGGTTAGAGGTCACTGAGGACCAGCTCTTGCCCTAGTTTCTTGGGTTCCGAGGCAAGCCCTGTCCCGGATACCTGGGTTCTCTGCCTGACTGAGGCCTGCCCCTTTCTCCATGTTTACCCCACACATTTTGTCAACGCCTAGATTGATGCAGTTGCAGCACTTGCAATGGGGGCTGGAAGCCTGGGCTCCTGGTTTCTATCTTGGCTCTTGGAGGGGAGAGGGTCATAACAGGTGTGCCTGGCCTTGATGTCTCAGAAAGCCAGCTTCGCCCCAAGCCCTCTGGGCCTAGCTGAACAAACACAGGCAGAACTCCCTCAGCTTCCTTGACCTTGCCCGTTGTTCCAGCAGCCTCTATAAAACCAGCTCCTCCTTATAACTGCCCCGGGCTGGCTTGCAGGGAGGCTAACAAGGCCTAGCTGCTTCTGAGCAGGGGTGGGGAGTGTGCTCTGCTGGGTTCAAGCAGGGAGCACTGGGAGGCAGGATGCCTGGGTTCCATTCTCTGCTTTCGGATGGGGTGGGGCAGCTGGTTGGAGTCATGCAATAAAAGCACAAGAGTGAAGGACAGGATGGGAAGGAAATCTTGTTTGCAAGGGAAACTGCTGAAGGGAGGGGGCGGGCTGGGGGCCTGGAATGGAGTCACCCCTATGAAAAACAGCACTTCCTGTGGCCCAGCCCCCAACCCTGCTCAACCCTCCCTGTGGCCCAGGGACCTGCAGCCCAGAATCCCCTGCTGAACCCCCGCCCCACTCCTTGTGGCCCAGCGTCCCCCATCCCGCTCCCTGTGGCCCCCTGCCCTGTTCCCTACAGCACAGCACGCACCCACCCGCCCTGCCGTGCCCTGCTCTGAGGCCCAGCACCCCCTGCTGCGTCTTGCCCCCCACACTAACCAAGCCCTGCACCCTGCTCCTTATGGCCCAGCACTCCTTGCTGAGCCCCTGCCCCACTCCCTGCAGCCCAGTGCCCCCCGCCAAGTCCTGCCCTGCTCCATATGGCCCAGCACCCCCCCACCCTGCTCCCTGTGACCCAGCACCTCCTGCTGAGCCCTGCCCCGCTGTCTATGGCCCATCACCCCTTGCCAACCCTCCGGTCCCAACTCCCTGAGGTCCAGCACCCCCTGCTGAACCCTGCCCAGCACCCTGCACTGACCGAGCCCTGCACCCTGCTCCTTATGGCCCAGTGCTCCCTGCCAAGCCCTACCCCGCTCCCTGGGGCCCAGCACCCCCTGTTGAGCCCCTGCCCTGCTCCCTGGGGCCCAGCACCCCCTGCTGAGCCCCTGCCCCGCTCCCTGCAACCCAGTGCCTCCCCCCGCCCCCCGAGGCCTGCCCCACTCCCTGTGGCCGAGTGCCCTCTGCTGAGTCCCCGCCCCGCTCCCTGAGGCCCAGCACCACCATCCCACCTCAGGCCTTGTTCCCTGTGGCCCAGTGCCCCCCACTGAGCCTGCTTCCTGCGGCCCAGTGCCCCCTACTGAGCCCCTACCCCACTTCTTGCGGCCCAGTGCCTCCTGCTGAGTGCCTGCCCTGCTCCCTACAGCCCAAAGCCCCCCACCTCTCTCCCTGCGGCCTGGCTGTCCTAACGCATCCCCACCCCGCTTCCTGCAGCCCATCGCCCCCTGACGTGTCCCCGCCCTGCTTCCTAAGGCCCAGTGCCCCCCACCCTTCTCCCTGCAGCCCAGCGCCCCCTAGTGCTCTGGCTCTCTCTGGGCTGTGATGCCTAATCCCTGCTAATCCCTGCTGCATCCCGGCAGTGTCTGTCCTTGGAGCAAGCAGCAGGGGCTGGAGGGGGCTGGCCCTGGGCAGAGGAGAGGGCGCCATGAGCTGGCCGGGCGAGACTTGGCAGGAGGGGCTGCCGGCACGGGCACTGCAGGGGGTGAGGGAGCTGGAGCAGCGCCTGGAGTGGGCCCACAAGGAGCGGCTCCAGAAGCAGGCACAGCTGGACACACTGGAGGCCGCGCTACACAAGCAGAGGCAGAAGGTATATGGGTGGCACCCACACCCATTCTCACCCTGCTGGGGGTGGCACTCAGGGAGGGCAGCCTGTGGCTCCCAGCAGGCCAAGCACCACTATGGCTGAGTCAATGGCTGTGCTGCAGGGCATTCGCCCATGCCCCCTGAGCCAGCCAGTTCTCCCTGCCCTGGGCCAGAGCAGAGTTCGTGTCTCCATGCCCAGTTCATGCCCCCAGCCGGTGCACACACCTCTGGGCTGTGCACTCTTGGGCCTCTCCTCCTGGCCTTGCACACTCACACCCCATCCCTTGTAGCATGAGGAGGAGCGTGGCACATGGGCGCTGCTGGCCCAGGAGCGGCGGGACCTGGCTGAGGCCTGCGAGCAGCAGGAGCGTGAGCACCAGCGACTGAGCCGGGAGCTCCAGGCCAAGGGGACGCAGCTGAGCCAGCTGGAGGGGCAGCTGGGCCGGGCCGCTCAGCGCATTGAGGAGCTGGAGGAGGAGCTGCGGAGGTACCAGCTGGGGAATGGGAATGCCAGCGAGACGATGGGGGGTGTTAGAGGGCTGTGGTGCCTGGCACTGAGGGAGGGCACTGCCTGAGACAGGTCGGGGGACAGCACTAAGTGGGGTGCTGCCCAGGAGCAGGTGGAGGAAGTACACAGGGGTATCTAAAGGTCAGGGTTGGGTGTTGCCCAAGGGAAGGCGAGGGGATGTGTGGGTGCAGTAGGTGATATTGTTGGGGTAGGGATGGTATGATGTGGGGGTGGGGTGCCTGGGGAAAGGTGAGGGAATCTGGGAGGTACAGTGTTGGGATAGTGGTGGCAGGGGGCAGAGTGAGAGTGGGGGAGGGTGCCCAGGGGATGACGAGGGGCACCACGGGGAGTGGTTTGTGGTGTTGGGGTCGGGGAACACTGTGCAGGGTGCAGGATGGGGTTGAGTGAAGTAGTGTTGGGGTGAGGGCACTGAGGCTGGGTATGAGGGGCCACTGGGCAAGCAGCACTAATCTCTCTCTGGGGTCCCCCAGGTGCCAGGCAGAGCTGGATAACCTGCGGTCAAGCACCCACCTGACCCATTGCTGGGCCCCCCAGAAGGAAGGTAAGGAGGGCAGGAGGGAGGGGGGCTCATTCCCATCCCAGGCTGATGGGGAATTAGAGCTTGTGACAGACTGTTGAGGAGGGGGTGGGGGGGGGAACAGTCGGATCCCCTTGGGGAGTTGATCATCGGCCCTGCAGAGCTGACAGGTCTGTCTCCTCACAGGGGCTGAGCTGGGCACTTGGGAGCAAAACCCCAGGCTAGAGAACAGACCCCGAACACCCAGCATGAGAGTGAGTACAGAGGGTGCCCCTCAACCCCAACCTCCAGCCCCCACCATCCCACCCCAGGCTCCCCACCTCCAGCTCGGCCAGTGTCCCTCAGTCCTGACTCCCAGCCCCAGGCTCCCCCACACCAGCTCTGCCAATGCTCCTCAATCCCAACCTGCAGCCCCCTGGTATCCCAGGCCTGAGTTCTCCCACCTTGATCTGCTGGTGCCCCTCACTCCTGAGCTGCAGCCCCTGCCCCATACAACTTGGGTGCATTTAGTAAAGGCCTGTATCCCTCACCCCCATATCGCCCCTTCTCCAGTTGCAGCCCAGCAGCCCCAAGTTGGGGGAGGAGCTGCTCGTACATCGAGGGGCTGCCTGGCACAGTGTCCCTCCTGGTGGCCCTGCCCCCACAGAAGACAGTCAGAGGATCCCATCCCATAGGGAGGAACCTAGAGAGGAGAATTCAGGTAAAACTGCAATGAGGTTGGGAGAGACTTTTCATGCCCAACCTAGCTATGGCGGTTTCTCCTTGTAAGCAGGTCACCAAGCCCGCCAACCTGACCCTGCCCTCCCTATAGTGGGGATCAGGATGGGTCCTGGGAAGGGCTGGGGCAGGGGAGGGGCATTAGGGGAAACCCCCCTGTTCTCACCCCTGAGATCCAGGCTGATCTCCAGGTCCTGAGAGTTAAGCATTCTGGGTAACTTGGTTACACAGGGGCTGATGTCCAGTCTGGGGGGAATGCAGAGAACTGGTTGAGGACTGCAGGAGGAGCTGGGCTCAAGACATATACAGGGGTGGGGAGGGTGCCATGTCCAGGGTCTGCACAGGAGAGAACTGGGGCTGGTGTCCAGTAATGGCTGGGGAGGGGGATGAGCCAAGGGCTGCGGCGGGGGTGGAAAGAATTAGACTCAAAGACTATGGGGCCAAGGCAGTCCTTGGTGCCAGTGGTGGAAGCCCACACGGCTCATGATGGTGGAGGAGGGCAATGGCTCCAGGCCATTGAGGGCAGCAGTGCCATTTCTCACCCCACCCTCTCCCCCCTCAGGGCCAGGGCGCAGACCCCCTGACGTGGAGGCCTGGGAGTTGAGGGGGGGACTGCAGTCAGTGCAGCAGGAGTTGGCCCAGTGCACAGAGCAGCGTGACCAGGCAGTCGCTAAGGTGAGCATGGGAGAGTCGAGAGGGAAAATGGGTTAGCCTCATACTGAGTGGGAAGGGCCACTTGGGGGCTCATGGAACGGCTGCAGGGTGCAGTACCGCCTGCTGCTCCTAGGGGGCATGGAACTGCTGCAGGGTGCGGTACCTCTTGCTGCCACGGGGGAGGGGGGGCGCATGGAGATGTTGCAGGGTGCGGTACTGACTGATGCCACGAGGTGGGGCTCTAGTCCTTGGAGCACAGGGGCTGCGGGGATCAGAGTGGGGAGGCCTAGAGCAGAGGATGCAGGTCTCAGTGGCACTGTGCAGGCCCTCTCAGAGGTCCAGAGAGGCCCGGGCCACTTCCAGCTTTTGAGGCCCCTAGCTGTAATAAAAATAAAAAATCATGACACATGGTCTAATCTTGTCTCATCAGAACTGATATATTTTTATTAATATTTATGAACATTTTTTATTCTTTGATATGACAAAATCCATATCAGTTAACAAAAACATTATGTCTTTTACCAAATCACATCTCTTATTTGCTTAAATCTGCAGCTCTAAGCGGAGAGAGTGTGTCACATTTTGGTCTGATAGGGATGCGCATAAAAACAAGTTGCGAAACTTATCAAATGCCAAAAAATTAACAAGTGTCTAAATTTGAGGCCCACTTTGAGCTTGGGGCCCAGGCCAAATGGCCCTCCTGGCCCCCTCTCTGATTGGTCCTGGCGCTATGAGGGAGCCCCACAGGGGAGGGATCATGCCCCCAGTCATATTCCTGCTGCAGGTCCCCTTCTCCCCCCCTCCCCTCCCCAGCTGTGGTGAACAAGCAGGACACTGGTACTTCTGGAGGGGCTAGGTGAGGGATGTAGCCCTTGGGGTGTGTGTTGGTTCTCCATGGGTGGCACAGAGCCATTCAAGGACTTGCCCAAGTCTGACACGTTGTTCCCCCCAGGTGAGTGCCCTGGAACGGCGGGTGCAGCAGCTGTTGGAGGAGTTGAGAGGCCAGAGGCAGAGAGCAGGGGCCGCACAGCGCCGCCTGGAGCAGCAAGAAAGGGAGCACCGGCAGGTGGGAGAACCCCTGCTGCGTGGCCCACCCCCTGCTACCCCCTTCTGCAGCACAATCCCCCCAACTTGGCATAGGCCCCTTATCCCATCCCCACCTCACAGTCCCTCCCCTGCACCTGGCACAACCCCTCCTTCCTAACAGTACCCTGCCACCCTCCTCCCCTCCCTTCGGCCCCTGACCCTACTGCACCAATCCCCCTTCTGTGCTACAGCCCCCACACTGCTGTGGCCAGCTACCCCCCCCCACACCCAAGTGCTTCCCCAGCCCAGAACAGCCTTACAAGGGGGCCCGAGGCTGAGACCCCCTTGGATCCCCTCCACCCCCACTTGGGGCTCCAGTGGTTGTGATGATGCATATCACCCCATCTGTTGCAGGAGCTGGCAGAGCTGGAGAGGCACCATCGGGAAGTGCTGGAGCAGCAGGGTACCCGGTCGGATATCCCTGCGCCCCTCCACTGCCCACCAAATAAGGTGAGGGGGGTGTTGGTGCCAAGGGACAGAAGGGTCCCAGCATCCTGTGGCAGGGAAAGGTCCATATCCCATTTCTCACCCTGCCCTATCACAGCCCACGTCACTCACACACCTGTCTTCAGCAGGGCCTGGGGGGATCGGAACGGGAGCGGCGCCCCCCAGGCTGTGTCCTGCGCAGCCTCAGCACCTCCCGGCTGGAGCGGGTGCCTGAGAAACGAGGGGCAGCTGAGAAGGTCAGAGGTGAGATGGGGGAGTGGGGTAAGGGTGAGGCTGGGGAGCAGAAGACAGGGCCTGGGGAAAGCAGGGGTCAGAGGTGGGGGGAGGAGGGGATGCTGAAAGGGGGGCAGTGGACAAGGTTGGATGTTTGGCCTGAGGCTGTGGCGGGGGTGGGGGCCCTGCAGGGGAGTAGGTGTATGGGTGGGAGGGGTGGTGTCTGTGAGTATGGGGATTTTGAAGGGGGCTGGGTGTGTGTCTCAGGGACCATAGGGGGCCTCAGGGGAGGTCTGGGGGTCTCTCTGTACCCTGCACCAGCCCAGTGTGGGCCCAGGGGAGCCCCCTGGCACCTTGTCCCCCTAACCGCTCCCTCTCTGCTCTGTTTGTCTTTCCCCCAGGTTCCTCAGCACAGGGTCCCCGAGCCGTGGGCAAGCTGGTGCCCGGTGGGGAGCGGGGCCGGGAGCCAGAGCCCCCCCCAGAGCTGCAGGCCCTGAGGGCTGAGGTGTTGGGGCTGCGCCGGCGCCTGGCTGCCTCTGAGAGCCTGCGCAAGGGGCTGCTGGAAACCTGCTGGCAGCTGCGCCAAGGCGCCTGGGACCTGGCTGGGGAGCGCCGGGCACTGGCCGAGATGCTGCCGGCCCAGGATGCCACCATGCAGCGCAAGGAGGCGGCCCAGGAGCTGCATGGGGCACCAGGGCCCAGCCCGGCCAAAGGGGAGGGGAGGGAACTGCAGGCCCTGGCTGTGGAGTTGGAGGCTCAGGTCTGGGGGGCACCAGGGCCCGGCCTGCCTCGGGGGGATGCTCAGGAGGTGGGAGAGCTGCAGGTGCTGCGGGGGGAGTTGAGGGCCCTGGCCCTGGGCAAGGCTGAGGCAGAGGCCCAGGCGGCCCAGGCCCAGGAGCGGCTGCGGCGGCTCCAGGAGACATTGGGGTTGCAGACAGAGCGGCTGGCACTGGCCTGTGAGGCCCAGAGCCAGCATGTGGCAGAGCTGCTGACTGAGGGGTATGAGCGGGAGCGGGAGCTGGAGCGCCTGGGCCAGGCGCTGGGGGAAGCGGGCCGGGTCCGCGGGCTGCTGGAGGCTGAGGTGGGGCACCTGCGGGTGCTGCTGGGTGGGGAGAAGCCTCCCACCCCTCTCCCTGAGCCACCCCCCCACAGTCCCAGAGCCTGGCCCCGCTGAGCCACCCCCCACAGTCCCAGAGCCTGGCCCCGCTGAGCCACCCCCCACAGTCCCAGAGCCCGGCCCCGCTGAGCCACCCCCCACAGTCCCAGAGTCCAGCCCCCCTGAGCCACCTGCCACCAGCTCCGCTGAGCCACCCCCCACAGTCCCAGAGCCTGGCCCCATTGAGCCACCCCCCACAGTCCCAGAGCCCGGCCCCGCTGAGCCACCTGCCACCAGCTCTGCTGAGCGCCCCCACAGTCCCAGAGCCCGGCCCCGCTGAGCCGCCCCCACAGTCCCAGAGCCCGGCCCCGCTGAGCCGCCCCCACAGTCCCAGAGCCTGGCCCTGCTGAGCCACCCCCCACAGTCCCAGAGTCCAGCCCCCCTGAGCCACCTGCCACCAGCTCCGCTGAGCGACCCCCCACAGTCCCAGAGCCCAGCCCCGCTGAGCCGACCCCCACAGTCCCAGAGCCCGGCCCCGCTGAGACCTGCCACCAGCTCCGCTGAGCCGCCCCCACAGTCCCAGAGCCTGGCCCTGCTGAGCCGCCCCCCACAGTCCCAGAGCCCGGCCCCGCTGAGCCACCTGCCACCAGCTCCGCTGAGCTGCCCCCCACAGTCCCAGAGCCCAGCCCCGCTGAGCCGCCCCCCACAGTCCCAGAGCCCAGTCCCGCTGAGCCGCCCCCCACAGTCCCAGAGCCCGGCCCCGCTGAGCCACCTGCCACCAGCTCCGCTGAGCCGCCCCCCACAGTCCCAGAGCCCGGCCCTGCTGAGCTGCCCCCCACAGTCCCAGAGCCCGGCCCCGCTGAGCCGCCCCCCACAGTCCCAGAGCCCGGTCCCGCTGAGCCGCCCCCCACAGTCCCAGAGTCCAGCCCCCTGAGCCACCTGCACCAGCTCCGCTGAGCCACCCTCCACAGTCCCAGAGCCCGGCCATGCTGAGCCGCCCCTCACAGTCCCAGAGCCCGGTCCCGCTGAGCCGCCCCCACAGTCCCAGAGTCCAGCCCCCCTGAGCCACCTGCCACCAGCTCCGCTGAGCCACCCTCCACAGTCCCAGAGCCCGGCCATGCTGAGCCGCCCCTCACAGTCCCAGAGTCCGGCCATGCTGAGCGCCTGCCACCAGCTCCGCTGAGCTGCTCCCCACAGTCCCAGAGTCCAACCCTCCTGAGCCACCCCCCACAGACCCAGAGCCCAGCCCCCCTGAGTCACTCCCCACAGTCCCAGAGCCCAGCCCCCATGAGCTGCCTCCCACAGTCCCAGAGCCACTTACTGCCATCCCCTCTAAGCTGTCTCCCACAGCCCCAGAGTCTGGCCCCCCAAGGTTGGCCACCCCCACCCCTGCTGAGCTGCCCCTTCCCCCGGAGTTGCCTCTCAGTGCCCTGGAGTTGGCTGTGTTTAGCAGGATGTGGGATCCCTCCACAGACCTGCCCCTGCTGGCGGGGAAGCAGGCCTGGCACAGTGAGCGGGCACAGCTGCAGAATATCCTGTGGGAACTGCAGAAGTCGACAGGCCAGGCTGGAGTGCAGGAGCAGGTGAGTGAACTTGGGGGAGGGCAGTTCTCCAAATTCCCTCCCCCATGCACCCCTGCCTGACCCAGGGCTTCCTTGCCCCATACCCCCAGCTCCTGTCCCAGGGTTCCCCTGCCCCATTCTCCCCAAACTTGGGTTCCCGTACCCCCAACACGTGGCTGCGCCACCCCTTCCACAACACCTTTACTCTTTCTATGCCACAGCCCACCCCACCCCTTCCACCTTCCCAATGAGCCATCTGTCATCAGTGTCCTCCATCTTGGACCAAACTGGTCTTGGTGTCACCCCCCTCACCCCTTTGCCCCAGGGTCAGGCTGGGGTTCTCTGGGGCTGAACCCTGCTCTCACTGGGATAACAGGATCCGTCTCCTTTCTCTTCCCCCACCCCCGTCTCTTCCCAGCTGGAGGAGGTGCTGTCCCATCTGCTGCAGGAGAACCGGGCCCTGCAGGCTGAGCTGGCGCTGTGGCAATCTCATGCCCGAGAGGAATGTACCATGCCTGCCACTGGAGACGGACAGCATCAGGGGACCTCAGCCACCCCCACTGCAGCACCTCTAGGGGACAGAGGCCAGGGAGACCTTGCTTATGGTAAGGGGGGGACATGGAGCGTTGGCTCGTTTTGGGGGCTGAGATCAGGGCTTTTGCCCCAACTCTGCAAGGGAAGGGGGCTGGGCATCAATGGGGTGCACTGCCTTTCGGGAGGAGGGGTGGCACCTGCCTGCAGGTCGGGGGCAGGGGCCTGGGCAGTTGTGGGAATCATGGGGGGAGAGAGCCCTGGGTATTTGGGGAGGGTCACTGGAGAAAAGGGGGTCATGGGTGGAGGCCCAGGCATCAGAGGGTCATGGGAGCAGACCCCTAATCTGTATCCCCATCTCGCTTTCTCAGTTCTCCGGACTGCCTGGCCGGGGGCACAGGATGCCCAGACCCAGACGGAGGGGCCGGTGCCGGGCCAGCAGCACAGGGAGCTCATCTCGGCAGCCTTCGACCACACTCAGTATGAGCCCTATGGGCTGCCTGAGGTCGTCATGAAAGGTGCGTGGTGGGCGGCTGGACCAGGCACATAGTGTAGGCACTGCCCATGTCTGGGGGTGCTGATGTGTGGGGGGCAGTTCAGGGAGTTATGGAATGGGCAGCATTTGAGGGGCACTATGGGGCAGGTTATGGAGCAGAGGGGTTCAGGGAGGAGGTATGGGGCAAGGGGAGCAGCAGACTTTCGGGGGTATGGAGTGGAGGAGATACAGAGCAGAGGGGTACAGGGCAGGGGAAGCCCCAATTTGGAAGGGTTAGTGCTAGGGGAGTAGGGGGAGGCATCCCAGATTATGCCTACATGAGAGTCCCATACACCCCCCGCCACCTGCAGCCAGTGACCGTGCCCAGGCTCGGCTAGGAATTCTTCCCCCGCCCCCTCGCCGCCCCAGTTGATTTTCCATCCTGCTCAGCAGCTCTAAGCTCTGCAAGGAGGGGCAGGGGTGCAGTACTGATTCTGGCTCTGATCCCTCCCCATGCAGCTGCCCTTCCCCCCAGCAGGACATTGGAGCGAAAGTGGAGGGAGGGGGGACCACTAGCAGTGCTCCCAGCCCCCAGGGAGTGAGAGATTGGGACCCAGGTGTCCGGGATGGGGGCTCACTCCTAGCAGAGCTCAGCCCCCACATTACTCAGCCCCAATCTCACTCTGTGCCCCACCCACAGGTTTTGCTGACATCCCCTCCGGCCCCTTCTGCCCCTATGTCCTTCGGAGGGGGCTCCTGGGCAGCACTCCCTTGGCCCAGCTGGCACCCAAAGCTGAGCCGGAGGAGGATCCCGCTGAATCTGATATGGGCACCAGTGTCTGAGAGCATCTGCTGGGTGAGCAACCCCTGTATGCACCCCTGAGCTCCACCCCAGAGGCAGCTGCATCTTTGCATTGGGGGTGCCAATATGATGATTTCTGTGTTTCACATTCTTTTCCATTCTCTTTCCAGCTTGGGTGGCAGAAATGTGCCCCCCCGTCCCCCTCCCCCCGCTACAAAGATTCCTGAACTTGCCTGGAGCTCCCAGCTGCTATGTGGCACCTTATGGCTGAGAAGGGGAGTCCTTCCCCCGTTCCCTTCACAGGCTGGACATGCGTAACCCTCTGGGATTTATTTTACAACCTGGCTTCCTTAAGGTGCTAAAAATTGTGGATACTAAAGCTCAATGGGCTCAGAGCTGCTCAGTGCCCCCCTCCCTGCACACAAGGAATGGGGCAGCTCAATGAATGGGGTTAATTGGAATCTCTGTCACCTCCTCCCCCCCCCCCCCACGCACACAGTTTGAAGGGAGTTAAGCCCTCTCTTCATGGCTCAGGGAATCAAAGGGCGGGTTGTGTCCACCCACCCAAAGTTTGGAGGAGCCACTGTGTTGAGTCATCCCCCTTGAGAGGGCCACAGCAGAAGTGCCTCAGAAAGGGGGTGGTGCAGTGCAGGGAGTTTCCCCCCAGCCCCCAGCTCTGGGGTTTGTATGTAACTCTGTCTCCCCCGGCCCCAATAAAGTTCCTTGCCTCAGCTCCAGGCAGCTCCTGCCTGCATCTTTCCATCTTCGGGGGGTCTGGCAGCTGCATTGCTCCCAAGCTAGTCTGGGCTGGAGACACCCCATTCCTGTACAGGTCTCCAGCACTTCAGGGTGAGAGAGTGTTACATCAGCCCCCACACAGAACCCAGACATCTGCAGGCAGAGGGACAGTAGTGCCCCCACCCCATTCTGCAGGGGGGAAATGGGCACAGAGAAGGGACATGGAGCAGCTGAGAATTGAACCCAGGAGTCCTGCCACCTCCTCTGGGGCCAGGGAGGGAGCAGTGCAGCGGGACTTGGGGGGCTGCACCATCCCAGGGAACCCCCAGCAAGGGGAACCCCTCTATCCTAAAAAATCATCCCAGAATCCCATGGCAAAGGGATGTGTCCCCACCTCTGTCCCCCTGGTACCCTATGCTGGTTCCAGCCTGTCCCCTCTCTGTGCATTGCCCCCCTCCATGCTCCCCCCCCAAGGGTTAACAACCCCCCCCCCATGCTATCTGCAGTTCCTGCAGCCTGAGGCTCCGGCTCCCTCTGGCTGTGGCTGGGCGGAGGGGGGAGGCTCCTGGCAGCTCTTGGGCCAAGGGGGGGTGGGGGGAAGGCAGGCCAGCAGCTGCCCCATCCTGGGGGGTGGGGGGGAAGGAGTGAGGGAGGGAGGAGGCTTCACCTGTCTGCTGGATCCCAGTGCAGGGAGGAGCCGCTGCTGCTGCTGCTGCTGCTAGCCAGTGAGTGAGTGAGTGATACAGGGGGAGGGGGGTGCTGGGGCGGGTACCACTCCATCCATCCATCCCCTTCCCCCGGAACCCTGGGCCCCACTGCCCACGCTGGGCAGGGAGACGGGGGCTGAGGGACCAACTGGGCTGGGCGACAGTGGCTTTATCTGGCGTGTGTCAAATGTGCGAGAGACGTGTGTGTGGTAGCATGTGACATGTCAGACAGCCGGGGATGTGTGTGAGATGGGGTGGGATAGTGTGCGTGTGATACAATGTGTGATGCTGTGTGAGGCAGTCCAAGTACGAGATACAGACAGGAGAGAGGGGATGTGTGTTAGATGGGCTGTGACAGTGTGTGAGCTACAGTGTGTGACAGGGTGCGTGAGACAGTTCGTGTATGAGACACAGACATGTGAGAATGGGGGGATGCATGTGAGAAGGGGTGAAACAGTGTGTGTGTGTGATACAATGTGTGGTGTGTGAGTCCAAGTACAAGCGACAGACATGGGAATGCGTGTGAAATGGGGTGTTACAGGGTGTGAGCTAGTGTGTGTGACGGGGTGTGTGAGACAGTTTGTGTATGAGATGCAGACATGGGAATGCATGTGAGATGGGATGAAACTCTGTGTGTGTGTGTGTGTGTGTGTGCGTGTGTGTGTGTGTGAAAGTGTCCATGTACTGGAGACAGGCACGGGGATGCGTATCAGATGAGGTGGGACAATGTGTGTGTGACACGTGTGATGCTGTGTGAGACAGTCCAAGTACGAAAGACAGACATGGGGATGCGTGTGAAATGGGGTGGGACAGTGTGTGTGTGATACAATGCGTGACAGAGTGTGAGAGACACTTTGTGTATGAGACACAGACACAGGGATGTGTGTGAGATGGGGTGTGACAGTGTGTGTGTGATACAATGTGTGATACGGGGGTGCATGAGAGGCACCATGTGTGTCTGTCACCCCCTGCTGGAGAGAACGAACCCAGCTCTCTGTGTGAGACAAGTGTGTCTAGGTGTGTGTGTGTGTACACCATAGAGGGCAACAGAGGGCCGTGTACATCACCCCCTACTGGCAGAGGTCAGGAATGCAGCAGCTGGGTGCTCCCCCTGCAGCTGGTGCTCCTGCCCCGCTCCCTACAGCCGTCCGCTGGGAGAGGCCGGGCATGGACGCTGGCTGGCTGGCGGCCCCGTGCAGTGCCAAGCCTGCGGTGGCGGCACCAGGGTTTGGCGGGGCAGAGCTAATTGAAAGCTCCCGTTAATTGGGCTCTGGCTGACAGGTTGGATGGGGGAGGGCTGGCACAGAGCCAGCTGTGCACCAGGCAACTCCCCCCCCCCCCCCGCATCCAACCGGGACTGGGAGGGGCCGGGAGACTCAGCCCCCCTCCGTCGCTCCCTGGAGCCCAGCTACTGTAGGGTCTGGCTCTGCACGGCACCCAGGTGAGTGAATGGGGCAGCCTTTCCCCCGGGGGGGGAGGAGACCCCCGCGCCCAATGCAAGGGGGGGTGTACAATCCCTATGTGTGGGAACCCCGGTCCCGGGGTTAACTCCCCCAAGACCCTCCCCACCTGGGACCCCTGGGATTGGGGTTAACCCCTCCCTCCGACCCACCGCATGGCCCCCGGGGACTGGGGTTAACCCCCGCCCCCTGTGGGGCCCTGGCCCGGGATGGGGGGGGTTCCCCCCCGCCGCCTCCATGGCCATCTGAGCACACACCCGGCTGCTCCTGCCCCTTTAAGCTCAGCTCCTCCAGCGACAGCATCTCCTGGCAGCAGCCCCGGCGCCGTCTCATTGCCCTGCCCTGTCCGCCCCGCCGGGTGCGCACTGCGCGCTGCTGCCCAGCTGGGGCCCGGCCGGGGGAGGCAGCAGAGCGCCCCCCTCCGGAGCTCCTTGGCCCGCCCCTCTGTCCGTGGGGGAGAGGGACGGGCTGGGCCTGCGGGGGGGGGGGGGGAACCCACTGGGCAGAGGTTCCGGCTCCGAGCGGCGCTGGGGGGATCCCAAGGGGAGGGGGGCCGAGCCGGGGTGTCAGTGCAGCTGCCCTCCCGCCGAGCACCGTAAGGTATGGAGTGGGGGAGGGGGGGTCTCGGCGTGATGCCCCCACTCCCTGTCACCCCCTTGCAATGAGCAACCTAGCCTCCCCCCCACATGGGCACGCTGGGGGCTGAGGCAGAGCGGGGGGGGGGGTGGACGGGGCGGCAGAGGGAATGGGGGATGGGAGGGTATCACAGTGGGAATGGAGGGAAGGAGGGGGTATATCCCCACACCCCTCCTCCCGCAGTATCATGGGCATTGGGGGCTATTTGGGAGAACTGAGGTTGCTCTGTATTATGGGGGTGGGGAAAAGGGGTGTCTCTTCTCACCCTGCCAAGCCCCATGGGGTATTTGGGGGTGGAGGATGGTAGGTCTTTGTGTGGTGGGGGTTGTTGGAGGAAGATGGGTGTGGTGCTGGGGAGTGGTCTCCCCCTGCAGTGAGCTACCCCCAGCCACACCACATGGTATTGGGGGGTGGGAGATGGCATAGGGGGACGTCTGTGCAGTGGGGGATATGGGGAATTGGCAGAAGGAGGGTGTCTTTTCTGGACTCTGCCTCTGTCCCTTCCCCCCAGAGAGCTACCCCCAAAGCCCTCTATGCATGGGGTATTGGGGTGGGGGCATGGGGGATATTGGGGATATGCGGGTGTAATGGGTGTGTCTATGCAGTAGGGACTATGGAGGGTAGGCATTTTGCCATACTCCTCCCATCCCCCACCCCAGTGAGCCACTTGCCCCAGAGCACCATGGGCTACTGGGTGTGGCATATTGAGTTGGGGTTTTCTAAGTAGGGGGTTTATTGGAGGGGGCAAAGTGAGCATATCAGGGTGGAAGCTTTGAGCAGTATTGGGTATAGTGGAGGGTCTCTGTGTAGTGGGGTTATTGGAGATATGGATGGGGTGTATCAGGGTAGGGACTATGAGGGTCTCTAAGCAGTAGGAGTTATTGGGGTTATGGGTGGAGTGTATTGGAGTGGGACCTATGGGGATCTCTATGCAGTGCGGGTTATTGGGAGTATGAGTAGGGTATATAGTGATATCAGGGGTGTACGGGGGTGTAATGGGGTCTCCGCAGTGGAGGTTAATGGGGTATGGGTGGGGGGCTATGGGTGGTATTGGGATGTAATGGGCGGTCTCTGCAGTGGGGGTGAGTGGATTATGGGTGGGGCATATTGGATGGGGGTATGGGTAGGGTGTATCAGAATAAGGGGGCCATGGGTAGTATTGGGGGTCTCTGCAGCAGGGGCTATTGGTGTATGGGTGGGGCTTATTGCAGTGGGGGGCTGTGGGTGGTATTGAGATGTAATGGGGGACTCTGTGCAGTGGGGCTATTGGGTTATGGGTGGGGTGTATTAGGATGGGTGGTATTAGGGTGCAGTGGCCTCCCCCCACACTCATCCCTGTCTCCTCCCTGCAGTGAGCTCCCCCCTGACCCCTGCAGCCCCCCACCCTACCGAGAACCATGGGACACTGCCTCTCTGCTACTCGTCTAAGGAGTCAATCCTGAGTGGGGTGGGGGTGGGGCAGACACCCCTTAGTGAGCGGGGCAGCGTGATGCGACGGGCTACGGTGCTGGCCCTGCTGACCGTGGTGCTTGCCTACCTGGTGAGTGGCGCCTTCGTCTTCCGCCTGCTGGAGCAGCCGCATGAGAGCCGCCAGCAGGAGGCACTGCAAGCTGCCCGTGAGCAGTTCCTGCAGAGATACCGCTGTGTGCCCAGCCAGGAGCTGGACGCGCTCATCCTGGTGAGATGGTGGGAGAGGGGCATGGAGGGGGCAGGTGTGGGGCATGGATGGGGTGGGTGTATGGGGGAAAGAGGGGAGCAGGGGTAGGGCATGGGGGAGGGGGTAGCAGGCATTGGCGGGGGGGAGGGGGGATGGGAAGTGCTGTGGCCACCACTGAAAGTCCCCTTAGTTACAGCGCTGCCAGTTCCTAGAGAGAAAGAGGCTCTCACTCGCTCAGGGATGGTGCAGAGCCTCCAGCTTTTCCTAAAATCCTAATGAATTAATTCTGAGTCCCCCAGTCCAGAAATTAATTCTCCCCCCCATACATCTGCCCCCCTCCTCTTGCAGCTCCAGGGGCTTGTCACCCTCCCTCAGTTTGGGAGGAACAGGGCTGGAGGAGGGAGCAGGGCTGGGTTCTCTCTCCTCTCCTGGGAAATGCTGTCCACTGCTCCTTCTCTCTCTCTCCCGCCCCCCCAGCTGATATCTCTTGTGGGGGAGGGAGAGCATCACCTGCCTCCTGCAGAAGCCCTGATTGGCTGCCTTCCCAGGAGGTGGAGAAAGTGGGAGAAGGGCAGCCAATCACAGGGGCTTTTCACCCTCACCTTTGGGCCAGGCTGGAAAACACCTGAGACTGGCCAAAATCAGAGTTGTCAATGTGGGGAGGGGACGGTTGCAAGGGGTAGGTGGGGAAGGGACAGTGCTGGAGGCATGGGAAGGGTGTGGGGGGCAGGTATCATTGGGGTGGGGCAGAAGCAGATGCAGGTTGGGGTGATTTGGGGGGCAATGGGGTGGGATGAGCCTGATGAGGGATTTCCAGGGGCAGATGGGGAGAGGAAGGAGAAAGAGGGGAGAGGTGGGGGACAGTCAAGTGTCTGGGTCAACAGCTGTGGGGCAGTCAGGAAAGGGTTGGCAAATGTGTACTGGGAAAGCCAAGTTTGGGGGTAAGGATGTGGGAGGGGGCAGCAGGAGCTGGTATTGGGTCCCCCCCATCATGCACTAGCATTAACTCTTTCCCGTCTCCCCCAGCATGTCAGAGATGCCATGGGTGCTGGCGCTGACCCCACAGCCAACAGCACCAATAGCACCAACTGGGACATGGGCAGCGCCTTCTTCTTCGCTGGCACCATCATCACCACCATCGGTACTGGCCCGGGGGGGGGGTGCTGTGGGTAGGTATTGAGGGCAGAGCTGGTGGGGGTGCTCAGGGCTGCGATAGCAGGGAGCTGCAGTTCAGGATTAAGGGGCAGCAGTTCTGCCCCCTCCCTGCTGACTCCATGCCCCTCCCCCAGGGTTCGGTAACACATCCCCCAAGACAGACGGGGGGCGTCTCTTCTGCATCTTCTACGCTCTGGTTGGGATCCCGCTCTTCGGGATGCTGCTGGCTGGGGTGGGCGACCACCTGGGCTTCTCACTGCGCCAGGCCATCAGTAAGGTGGAGGATGTCTTCCTGGTGAGTGCCCTCTGCGTCTCCATCCCCCTGCCCCTGCAGAGCCAGGGCCCATGTACCCAGCAGCTCCAGGGTCCCCAGTGCTTCCCCGTTTCCAATCCCTTATGTCCAGAAGCCACAGTGTCTTCCACTGTCTCCCTTGGTCTCCCAGCCTCCTGTGCTCCCCCAGCAGTCCCCCCACGTGCCCCCTGCACCCACTCTCCGGGCTGTGTGCAGAGCAGGGGTGCTGCAGAGGAGGGGTCAGACAGTGGGTCAGGGAGCCTGGCTCTGCTCCCCTGCACTAGATCTCTCCCATTTGTGGGGCCAGCTTGGTTGAGGGCTCCTGTCCCAAGGGGCTCCCCAGTCTGTTTCCTCCCCCAACACTCTCTGCCCCCACCCCATGGGTTCCAGGGATTCCCTTCCCAGAGGTGGGGGGAGGGTCCTTTCCCTAGTTCCCCTCCTGGGTAGGGTGGCCACTTCCAAGGTGCAGAAAACCCAGCCTTTGGCTGCTCCACCACCTAACAAATCACAGCCCCTGGCCGTCACCCCATCAACCAATAACAAAGTCCGGTCCACGGGTCACACCACCACCAGAACCTGGCCACTGGCCGTGCCCCCCATTAAGAAAAAGGGTCCTAGTGCCCATTACAGGTATTACTAGAATGTGTTAGGGAACCGTTTTACAAATCAAACAAACAACCGCCCCACAATCTGTATATTTGTATGTTATTTTATCATTTTTCTTACCTCATTCTAACACGGGCCACAATCCAAACTACAAGGCATGGATTGTAGAGTGCTTTAACATCCCAAGTGAAAAAACCCAGCACAGAAAATCTTCTACCTGGCAAAGCAGTACAAAACCCATCCAGGTGGCACCTCTGCTGCCAGGGGGCTGTGTGAGGGGGTGCAAAGGAGTGTGTGTTGGGAGGAATCAGTGCATGAGAGGGGCAAAGGGGTTGGTGTGTGTGGTGGGGGGTTCCCCTCTCGGGGGTCAGAGTGTGCATCGGAGCGGGGAGGGCTGGGACAGTCTGTGGGGAGGGGGCTTTCCCCTGGTCCTCCCTTGATGCTGTCTCCTCCCCCCCAGAAATGGCAGGTGAGTCCCACCATTGTGCGAGTTCTCTCTGCCCTGCTCTTCATCCTCATTGGCTGCATCCTCTTCGTCACCATCCCCACCATTGTGTTCCAGCGAGTGGAGGGCTGGACCCTGCTGGAGTCTGTCTACTTTGTGGTCATCACGCTGACTACCATCGGCTTTGGGGACTATGTGGCAGGTAGGCATGGGGGAGGCTGTTGGTGGTGGGCAGGAGGGGGGCTCAGTGAAAGCTGGGCTTCACGGGGGACAAGGGAAGGGGTGGGGAGCCTAGTGTGTGTGGGCTAGTGTGAGAGAGCCCCTGGTGGGACAAACTGTGGGAGGTGTGGGGAGCGGGAGACAGGGAAGGTGGGTGGTGGGGTGTGATGTCCTAAGTGGAGCAGAGGATGTGGTACAAAAGCTAATTATAGCACGACTGCTCAGTAATAGCGACCATAATGTAATTAAATTTAGCATCTCTGTAGGGAGATAATACACACACACACACACACACACAAAAATCCCACTACAGTAACATTTAATTTTAAAAAGTGGAGCTACACAAAATGAGGACACTTGTTAGATGCAAATTAAAAGAAGCTGTCACAAGGGTAAAATGCCTGCAAGCAGCATGGGGACTATTTAAATACCCCATAATACAGGGTCATAGTGAATGTATACCCCAAATCAGAAAAGACAATACGAGGACCAAAAGAATACCACCATGGCTAAACAGCAGAATAATGGAGGCTGTTAGAAACAAAAAAGCACGCTTTAAACTTTGGAGATCAAATTCCAATGAGTTCCAACAAACTCAGGTTGGTTAAGGGTACAAGTGTAATAAGACAGGACAAGAAAGAACTTGAGAAGCAACTTGCTAATGACGCAAAAACTAAGAGCAAGAATTTTTTAAAACACATCAGAAGCAGGAAGCATGTCAGATAGGCAGTGGGGCCAGACCACAAAGGTGTTAAAGGAGTACTCAAGGAAGACAAGGCCATTGCAGAGAAGCTAAAAGGATTCTTTGCATCAGTCTTCACTCCAGAGGATGTGGGGGAGATACCCCCATCAGAGCTATTCTTTTTGGGTGATACATCTGAAGTACTATTACACAGATGTGTCAGTGGAAGAGATTTTAGAACAAATTGATAATTAAACTGTAATAAATCACCAGGACCAGCTGGTATTCACCCAAGAGTTCTGGAGGAACTCAAACATGAACTGGCAGAACTACTAACTGTGGTCTGTAATCCGTCACTGAAACAAGCCTCTGTACCAGATGGCTGGAGGATCACTTAATGTAATGCCAATTTTTAAAAAAAGGCTCCAGAGGTGATCGTGGCAATTACAGGCCAGTGAGCCTGACTTCAGTACTGGGCAAACTGATAGAAACTATGGTAAAAAAACCTGAATTATCAGTTAACACTGATAAACCCACTTTGTTGGAGAAGAGTCAACACAGCTTTTGTAAAGGGAAGTTGTGGCTCATGACTCTAAGAATTCTTTGAGGGGGGGTCAACAAGCATGTGGATAAGGGCGATCTAGTTGAAATAGTGTACTTGGATTTTCAGAAAGCCTTTGACAAGGTCTCTCACCAAAGTCTCTTAAGCAAAAAGGAGTCATGGGATTAGAAGGAAGGCTCTCTCATGGATCAGTAACTGGTTGAAAGATAGGAAGCAAAGGGTAGGAATAAAGGGTCAGTTTTCAGAATGGAGAAAGGTAAATAGTGGGGTCCCCTGCAGACTGGGACCTGTGCTATTTAACATATTCACTAATGATCTAGAAAAGGGAGTGAAAAGTGAAATGGCAAAGTTTGCAGATGATAAAAATTTACTTAAGATAGTTGAGTCGAAAGCAGACTGCAAAGAGTTACAAAGGGATCTCACGAAACTGCATGAGTGGGCAAGAAAATGGGAGATGAAATTCAGCGTTGGTAAGTGCAAGGTAATGCACGCTGGGAAACATAATCCTAGCTACACATCCAAAATGATGAGGTTTAAATTAGATGTTGCCACTCAAGAATGAGATTTTGGAGTTATTGTGACTAGTCCTCTGAAAACTTCAGCTCAATGCGCAGCAGTGGTCAGAAAGGCTAACAGAATGCTAGGAACCATTAGAAGAAGGATAGAAAATAAGACAGAAAATATTATTATACCACTATATAAATCCATGATGTGCCCACACCTTGAATGCTGTGTCCAGTTCTGGTTGTCTCATCTCCAAAAGGGTATATAGTGAAACTGGAAAACATTCAGAAAAGGACAGCAGAGGTGACCAAGGGTGTGGAATTACTTCCATATGAGGAGAGTCTAAAAAGACTAGGACAGTTCAGCTTAGAAAAGAGACAATCAAGGGGGAGTATGATGGAGGTCTACAGACTCGTGACTGGTGTAGAAAAATAGAGAAGTCTTATTTACCCCTTCCCACACTACCAAAACCAGGGGGTCACGGATTGAAATGAACAGGGAGCAAGTTTAATACAAACAGGAGGAAATACTTCTTTGCACAGGGCACAGTCAACCTCTCATGAGATGTTGTGAAGGACAAAAGTATAACTGGGTTCAAAAACGAATTAGGTAAGTTCATGGAAAATAGGTCCATTGCTCGCTGTTGGCCACAATGGTCAGGGATGGATGTACCCCATGCTCAGGGCGATCTTAACCCTCCAACTGCCAGAAGCCAGGCGGGGAAGACGGGTGGATCTCTCCAAAGTGCCCTGTTCTGTACACTCTCCCTGAAGCTCTGGTATGGGCTGCTGTCGAAAGACAGGATACTGGGCTAGATGGACCATTGGCTGTTCTTTTGTGGCCTGGGGGGCCTGGTACAGGGAAAGGAGGATAGGGAGGGGGCAGAGGGAAGCAGGTGGAAAGGGGCTGGCAGGAGGATTGGGGCAGTGGAGTGATGGGGGAGCGGGGCAGGGAGGGCACAGCTGGTGCAGCGCGGAGGTTGTGTGTGTTGGGGAGATGCTGAGACACTGTCCCCTCCCAGGTGATGGTATGGGGGATGACCACCCCTGGTACAAGCCCCTGGTCTGGTTCTGGATCCTGCTGGGCCTGGCCTACTTCGCCTCCATCCTCACCATGATTGGCAACTGGCTGCGAGTGCTGTCCCGTCGCACAAGGGCCGAGGTTGGTACCCCACACTTCCCCCCACCCCACCTCTCTGATCCCCTCACCCCCCCGCATTGCCCCCATCCTGCCCCTTACCTTCCCACAGAACCCCACTATCCTGCCCCTCTGACTGCCCCCTTTTGCATCCTCTCATGGACCTCTGACAGACTCCCCTCTGCTGTGCTCCTCTGCCCCCCACTTCCCTAACCCCCCTACTTTCTGCTATCCTGCCCCCATCCCTCTAGCTCCCGCTACGGAACCCCCACACTGTCTTGCCTCTCCGTCCCCCTTACTGCCTCCCCTTTTTATCCCCCCATGGACTCCCCACTGTCTCCTCCTGACCCAGCACACGTGGGCTGACATGCGTCCTCTGCACCTCCCAACTGACCCCTCCCTCTGACCCCTCCCACAGCCCCTGCATCCCCCTGTGGACCCTGTCACTGCTCCACCCCACCCCCACAAGATACACCCACTGGTGGGTGCTGTCCTGGCACACACAGGCCATGTTCCCATCCTGCACAAACCCCCTAGCATGCACCCCCTCCAAAAGAGCCTCAACCCACATCCTGTACACATACCCCAGGGTGTGCCTACAGGTGAGGGAGTGGATGGGGGGTCAGCCTGATACCCCACCCCCAATCTAGCAGAGTGTGTGGGTGGGGAAGGAGATGGGAGGGGTGGCTCATGTGGAGAGGGGGCATGTCAGTGGGAAGGGATGGGGTGGGGAGGAGTAAGCATGTGGGGGGTCAGCGTGGAAGTGGAGGGGGGTCGGTAGAAGTGGAGGGGGGTCAGTGGAAGGACTTGGACAGGTTCCCTGACCTCCCCCTCCCCACAGACGGGGGTCTCACCCTGCAGGCTGATGGGGGCTGGGGTGTATGTTGGGGGGGATCAGTGGAGGGATGTGGGCAGGGAGGTCAGTGGGGAGGCTCGGTGATGTATGCGGTGGGATCAGTGGGAGGTTTCCTTGCCTGTCCCTGATTCCCCTCTCAACCTACAGATGGGGGGCCTCACCGCTCAGGCTGCCAGCTGGACAGGGAATGTGACCGCCCAGCTGCGGGTGACAGGCATGGGGCTGCCCGAGAAGCTTCAGAAGGTGGGAACGCTGAAGGGACACCCGCCCTCCCCTATGCCCCCGGAGCTTCCACCCACCATGCCTTCTCCCTCGCCTCGCCCGGAGCCCCCCTCTCCCAGCACCGCCCTACAGGTGGCACAGCTCAACGCCCGCAACATGGCTGCTTCAGCGGGGGGGGCGGCTTGTGCCCTATAGACTACATGGGGGAGAACCTGGCCTTCATCGATGAGAGCTCCGACACCCAAAGCGAAGCACCCAGCGAAGGGAGGCTGCAGGCCAAGCGCCCCCGCCAACTCCGCCGCCTGCGTACCCGCCACACCCACGGCCAGCCCCCTGGCCTGCCCATGGACCTGCTGAGCCGCACTCGCCACAAGGGTGAGGCGGTCTAGAGGGGAGTGGAGCAACCCCAGCACGGAGACTGCCCCCCTGCAGCATGGTGCTACCTGTCCCCCCCCAACAGCACGGAGACTGCCCCCTGGCCGTCAGCTGGGCCTACCTGTGGTACCAACTGGGCCCCCCTACACTGCCAATGGGGGCCCCCCAACACAGACCTCCCTTCCCTCCTGGTACCAACTGGGCCACCCAGCATGGAGACATCCCATCCCCTTTGATGCCAACTGCCCCCCTGCTGCCAACTGCCAACCAAGCACTGAGACTGCCCCTCTCCCCTGGTACCAGCTGAGCACCCCTGTCACAGAGACACTCCATTCTCCATGGTCTCCTCAAGGTGCCAACTATCCCTCCCCAGCACCAGACCCTACCCACACCCAGCAAAGGGATTTGCCCCCATCCCCTTCCTGGTACCAGGAGACCCCCAGTACAGGGAATCCCACTACACAGACACCTACCACCCCAGCTCACAGACTAACTTCCTCCCCTGGAGTGTCTGCGGGGCAGCTTGTGGGGGACACCCCCACCTCCCCTTAAATCTGTGCCTCATTTGCCTTGCAGGATGGATCCTTAACCCCCCCCAAAAAGGGGGCAGAAGGATCAACCTGCCAAATGATATTCTGAACCCCCAAACTCCTGGGAGGTGACCCCTCCCCAAATCAACTAGGGGGAGTTTATTGAACCAAACAAGGGGCTATGCTGTTCCCTGCTGCCTCCCCCCCGTGCCATAGGGAGTGGAGGTTTCCACCCAGCGATCCCCCTGTGTGTCTGTCCTGTTGCCGCCCCCCCAATCCACACACACAAAGGTGCCTGTTTGACTCGGTTCGATGGATGATTTTTTGTTTTTGTTTTTTATTTTCCAGATTAAACCAAAATCTGAATGAGAGACACCGCATCCATGTGTCTGTCCAGGGTGGGGTGGCTGGCACAGTGCCTCAGAGAGGGGGTGCTCAGAAGGCACTAGCCCAGGAGGGGTGGGGGAGCATGGAAGAGATGTAGTGGGGTTCAGAGGCAAGGGGGTTTGATGGGGGACAGGAACTGGGGGGGCAGTGCAGAAGGGGTGCTGGGAGTGGAAGTAAGTGGAGCACGATGGAGGTGGGGTCACAGAGTGGGGGGTGTCACCCTTCCCAGGGGTCCTCCAACCCAGGGGACATGTGCAAGGTGTGGTGTAGGGGATTGGGGACCTTGGGGGGTGAGTCTCCTCCTCCCCCAGCTCTGCTGGGGGCAATGAGGGATTCTGGGGTCCCTGGGATGGGATGTGGGGGCCTGGAGACCGTTGCCCAGCAGGATTCTCCTGTTGCCATGGCATCACCTCAGGGCACCACGGCGTCCTGGTCTGAGTGGAGTGTCTCTGAGTCCATCCTTTCCTTTGCGGGGGAGTGTGCATGATCATTGTGGTCTCTAACCCCCCCAAACTCCAGCTTCTCTCTGTGCCCCATAGTGGAAGGGTATAGGGGGGCACAAAGTAGGTGGGGGTCATGAGAGAGGGGGAGTGGAGGAGTAAATGGGGGGCAAAGGTGTGTGGCTGGGTTTGGCGGGTTAGCAGGTGTGTGTGGAGGGGTAGGCAGATGTCGGGAGGAGTGACCGAGCCGCAAGGGGCATGAAGGATGTGGGGACTCAACAGGAGTGCTGGGGTGGGTATGATTGGGTACCAAGGGCATGGGGGGGGCTAAAAAGGGGTGGATTGGGTGGGGGCCGCTGGCTCTGACACTTCCTCTCCCCTTGGTGTCTCAGGCACTGAGCTCACCCAAGTCCCTGGGGCATCATGAAGAGTGGAGATGAGCCGGACACAGAGCAGGTAACAGGACATGTGAGGTGACACCCCCAAAATCCCTCGGGGGTGTGTGCAATGGAGGATGCAACATGGATAGGAAGGCATCTGGGGACACTATGTCTCAGTTTGGGGGGGCCTGTCGGGGCACTGGATCCTGATTTCAATGGCAGGTGCATCTGGGGCACTGGTCCTGGTTTCAAGGGCAGGAATCTGGGGGCATGAGGTCCCCATTCAGGAAGGGGCTCTGGGTCTCAATTTCAAGGAGGGTGTCTGGGAGAGCTGGGCCCCAATTCACAGAGGGGTGGCAGTGGCATCTGGGAGAGCTCCAGTCCTCTGGATAACCCCCTTCCAGCAAAGGGGCTGTGAGGGAGGGGTACCCCATTAATGGCTTCCTGGTGCATTGCAGGGCAAGGCAGGAATGGAACTGGATGGCGAGATGGAATTGCGCCGATGGTGAGCACAGAGGATGCTGGGAATATCACCCCGAAGGTGTGGGGTACAGGGCTGCATGGTTCCCTGGGGGAGCCAGGATACCAAGTTAGCAGGGGAGGATACCGGACTAAACCCGGGGGGGTGTGTGTGTGTGTGTGTGGCATCACCCTGTGGAAAATGTGGGAATTGCTGCCATATTTGTAAGAATAATAGGTATGACTCAGTTTCCCCATGCCCTTGGGATTGCCGTCCTATGGGCGGGAAGGGTTACTTTCCCCTCCAGGGCAGGGGAGACGGGACAGCTGCAGCTCTCTCTGGCTGGGGGTGGGTGCACCAACAAGAACTCTCCCTAGGAACAGAGCCCTGGAGTGAACCCGGGAGCCCCGAGGGGTGCACCTGGGCACCAAAGCCTTGTCTACTCAGGAGCTATTCCTCATTAATGATTCCTAACTCCATTTGTGGACACCCTAATTTCAGAATCAGAAGTGCCTTATCTCAAATTATCCTAATCCAGATTAAACTAATCTGGAACAAGGCACTCTGCTCCTGGTCCAAGAGCATCCACATATGGAGTTAATCAGGAATAGTTAATCCACTTAAAATTCTCACCCTGCCTTAATCTGGAGGACTGTTTCCATGTAGGCACAGGGGCAGCTATCAGGTAATAATGCCTTATCCTGATGCCTTACCGGCAGAATGCTGTACAGAGAGAGACTGCAGGACTTAGTTGCTGTCATTTAACCAAGAGAAAGTGAAGAGGTAACTTGCTCCCAGTCTCTAGGCACCTGCCTGGAGAACAGACATGATAACAGAAGGTTCTTCAGTCTAGCAAAGGGCCACCAAAGTTCAGATTTGCCCTAGTTCAAATGGGAATTAATTCAGGGCAGCCCTATGGCCCGTGGTGCCGGATGTCAAACTGGACAATCACACTGGGGCCTTATGAGCGACGAATGTTCGTATAAGAACAAATGGGGGATAACCTGGCCAGGAATCCACTGAGGCTGAATGTGAGGAGAAGGTTTGTGACCAGCAGAGGAGGGAGGGTCTGGAGCAACCTCCCAGTAGGAGGAATGGTTGGCAAACGCCCCAACCGGCCTGAGGATGGAGCTAGGTAAATTTCCAACCAAGATCCTATAACAGGTTGGCTGCAAGAGCAAGGCCGGGACTCAGTGGCCCAGCCCTATGTTCCTAAATTGCTGGATTAGGAATCTGGCTGCCCAGGCCGGGGGGCAGAGAGCGAGGCTCTGGTGGGGAATGGAGGAGGAGGCAGAAGTAGAGTAGGTAGTTTCCAGCATGGACTCCGGGCTGAGCCTGGCTTTCTGTGCTGCGCTAAGGACCCTGCGATGCTGGAACCTAGGGGACTAGTAAACACTGGCTTGCTCTGAACAGGCTGCACTGGGTCGCTTGCAGGACGCTGAACTCAGGGGAACCACTGGGGAGATACAGAGACACATGGGGCGCTGGAGAGCCCAGGGCCCTGCCTAGGCATGCTGGAGTAGGGGTGCTCACTCTAACCCCATGGCCTGGCATGCCCACGGGGGCATTCCTGGACATGCTTGCCAGCACAGTGCACCCCGGTAAATCTGTGATGCTTCCGCTAAGCCCTGCCTCTCTCCTCAGTTCTGCGTGGAGCCTCTCCCGTGACCCCAGCACTGCCCAGGAGGTAGGGAATGGGACTGGGGTGTGTGGAGGGGGGAGCAGTGGGCTTAGTTAGTGTCTCGGAGGCACCCAATCCCCTACAATGCCATCCCTGTATTAGGGGGAGGCTAATACTGGGGATCCCTGTCTGGTGCCAATACCGATGTGGGGTGCTGGCAGGTGTCACTGCAGAGTGGGGGGACAGAGACTGGGGTTCTTGGGGGCTCACCACAGTGTTGGGAGAGGGACTGGGGCTCTCTGGGGTGTCACTGAAAGGGATGCAGCTGAATCTGCTTTAACCCACTGTTGTTGCAGGAGAAGGTGCTGGAACAGGGGCAACAGATGATGGATGCTGCTGAGGGGTAAGAGTGGGGTGGTGGAGTTGGCATCTGGGCCTCTCCACCTCTAGTGACTGTGGGTGGAGGGACAGAGTTGGGGGGGGGGTTAATATGTAATACTGGATCCATGGGGCAATTGTCCTCTGGGGGACATGGCTGGGTTGGGGGAGGTCACAACTAGACTGGGGCATGCCCAGGAGTCAGGGACCCATGGGGGGCAGACAGCTCAGCCCCATTGGGTGGGGGTTGATCTGCCATGTGGGGCAGCAGCAGCCTCTCCATCCTGGCTCCCTACCTGCCCCGGGGATGCTGCTTTCCCCATTCCATCCCCCCACTGGCTCCATGCCCCCCCAGGGGACTCCACTCTCATGCCCCTAATGGAATCCACCCCCCTCACAGAAGCTTTTAGCTGATCAGTGCTAAAGGAATTTCCACTCCAGCCCCCGGCCCCGCCCCTGAACACAGCCTGGCCTGGAGCTGGGGGAGGGAGATACCGGATTGGATGGGCCCACAGGTCTGCTCCTGGGCAGGGAGAGGGGAAGACAGGATACTGCGCTAGATGGGCCCATTGGTCTGATGCGGGGAGGGGCGGGGGATACTATCCTCTCACCAGGATGCCCTCCCCACCCGCAGGTCACCTGGGGGCACCTCCCCTCCACCTCACAATGACCCAGAAGAACCAGACAGTGCCTGTCAGGAGGTAGGAGGGCTGGGGGGTAGTGGGATTTGGGCATCTGACCTGCACACTCCCCCACTCCAAGGAAGGGGCTGCCTGTGGGGGAGAAGGTGGGAAAGGAAGCCGCCTCTTAGATGCAAAGCCACAGGAGGAGGGGAAGGCCTGGAGATAGAGTTAGGAGGTATCTGGGCTCTAAAGGGATTCCTCCCACCAGGAACCTGGGCCTGCCGCTGAAGCCTTAGAGAGCTCAGACCATCTCTCCCAGCTGGAGTCACGCACCACCCTCTCAGGTGAGTCTCGGGGGGAGGAATCCCTGTGTAAACAGCCCCCGCTCTCCACCCCAGAGGTGGCTGCATCTCAGCACCACACAAGGGATACCTGTGTGCTTTTGGATCTGTGGTGGGTTGGGGTTATAGACTGAGACCCCCCTGCTACCTTCAGCTCAGCCACTCTGCCCCCTCAGGCATGGGCAGCACTGTGTGGACCATGGGGTGTCACATCAGCCACTGGAGACTGGCACACCAGCAGGGTTACCACGTGGACCAGCTGACACAGGTGGATACAGCCGGACTCCCCATCTTGGATCTGTAGGTACTCTTACTGTTCCTTTGGGAGGAGCCTTATTATTTCTCAGACCCTGGGCTCAGCATTTCACCAGGGCAAGTCCAGTGGCTCTACCCCCGGGGCTGGGCCTCTGGGCTCCAGCACCCTCTGAGGCTCCACGGTTGGTCCCAACAAGTTCAGACTCCTGGCAGAGCCTTTGCTCCTTGGGAGTGACACGGCTGGGAGGATCTGCAGGGACCCCGCGCAGCCTGCTCCGAGCAAGCCAGTGAGTCCCCGGGAATCCAGTATTACAAAGCCCCTGGTAGGATGGGGAAGCTAAGTTTTTAACCCAGAGAACCTGGGAACAGCCTGGCCTGGCCCTCCCCCAGGCCTCCTCCCCTTCACCTCTCAGCTCTCTCTGCATGGGGAGTATCATGGTTCCTTCCCCACTCTGAACTCTAGGGTACAGATGTGGGGACCTGCATGAAAACCCCCTAAGCTTATTTTTACCAGCTTAGGTTAAAACTTCTCCAAGGTACAAACTATTTTACCTTTTGCCCTTGGACTTTATTGCTGCCGCCACCAAGCTTCTAACAAATATATAACAGGGAAAGAGCCCGCTTGGAAACGTCTTTCCCCCCCAAAATCCTCTCCAAACCCTACATCTCCTTTCCTGGGGAAGGCGTGATAAAAATCCTCACCAATTTGCATAGGTGAACACAGACCCAAACCCTTGGATCTTAAGAACAATGAAAAGCAATCAGGTTCTTAGAAGAAGAATTTTAGTTGAAGAAAAAAAGTAAAAGAATCACCTCTGTAAAATCAGGATGGTAAATAGCTTACAGGGTAATCAGATTCAAAACATAGAGACTCCCTCTAGGCAAAACCTTAAGTTACAAAAAGACACAAAAACAGGAATATACATTCCCTTCAGCACAGCTTATTTTATCAGCCATTTAAACAAAACAGAATCTAACACATATCTAGCTAGATTGCTTACTAAGTTCTAAGACTCTATTCCTGTTCTGTCCCCGGCAAAAGCATCACACAGACAGAGACCCCCTTTGTTTCTCCCCACCTCCAGCTTTGAAAGTATCTTGTCTCCTCATTGGTCATTTTGGTCAGGTGCCAGAGAGGTTATCCTAGCTTCTTAACCCTTTACAGGTGAAAGGGTTTTTCCTTTGGCCAGGAGGGATTTTAAAGGTGTTTACCCTTCCCTTTATATTTATGACAGGGAGGAAGCCCAGGATAACTAGAGTGGGGCTAGCTAGGAAGCAGGGATGGGGGGCATGGCATTGAATGGTCTTAGGCAGTCAGGGTGGATGCAGGGTGGGGGTGGGAAGCAGGGGGCGTTGGGTGGTCCCAGGCAGTCAGGATGGGGTGCTGGGTGGGGGGCATTGGGTGATCCCAGACAGTCAGGATGGAGTGCAAGATGGATGTGGGGGGCAGGGGGGTATAGGGTGGTCCCAGACAATCACGGTGGGGTGCAGGGGGTAGGGACATTGGGTGATCCCAGACAGTCAGGGTCGGGGTGCCGGGTGGATGTGGGGGGCAGGGGGCATAGAATGGTCCTAGGCAATCACAGTGTGGTACAAGGTGGGGGTGGACAGCAGGGGGCATTGGGTGGTCCCAGGCAGTCAGGGTGGGGTGCAGGGTGGGCATGACAGTGTTTGCTCCCATCTCACGCTCTCCTCTCATCCTCAATGGTCCAGAATGAATCTTACAAGCACCGGCTGAGGAAACATGAGCAGGATTGCAAAGCAGCTGTGAGTCTGTCCCCCACACCCCATGGTTTATGGGGCCCTTCTCTCCCCTCCGATGGTATGCCCCCACCCTGCCCAGACCTGAGCCTCCTGCCAGCTCCCTCACATCTCACCTGAGCCCTGACCCACTCAGTGCACCTGCCCCCAGCCTCCTCTGACTACCTCTCAGTACCCCTACCCTGAGACCCTAGAGTGTCCCCCACAATCTCCCTGACCCCCCATGATGGCCTGTCTTCCGGCCTTGATTACCCCAGGCCCTCCTGATGCCCTCTTATGGGGCTCCCTCCCACTGAGTCAGTCCCCCCATGTGATCCCCCATCACCTCTGATGCTCCAGTTTGGGGCCCTCATGGGGAACTCCAGCCTAGGCATGTCTCATGATCCCCTGAGTTCCCTCCATTCATCCCCAGGGAACACACACAAAGTTAACTGCCCCACCCGAGTTCTATGTTAATGCGGAAGGGGCCTCTTTGCAGTGCCCTCCCCCAGTCTCAGGGCACCACTAAGAACTGAGACTCTCATCATGTGGATGAGTGCTTGGAAATCCCCCCAGAGAGGGTCAGGGCTGCAGGGAATCACCACCTGGACACTGAGTTCCCCCACTCCAAAGGGGGATACCCCCTCCCAGATCTGAGAGCCTCCAATGGTAAAGCCAGCCCCTCCCACCACAGGTGCCCCTGCCCCTCCTGGGGCTGATGGAGGAGGAGGTGCTGGCGACCTTAACAGAGACCCTGAAAGGTGAGGGGGGGCAGGGGTGACGGGCGGGGGCTAAAGCTGGGGATGTCAGCTCAGCAGGGAATGGGATCCCACCCTAGCCAGCACAGTGTAATGCAGCAGGGTGACACCATGCAACCTACCAATGCAGCATGGCAGCCCAATGGAATCACCCAGTGCAACCCAGTACAGCACTATGTGACCTCTCTGTGCCAGGTGACACACCCCCAGCAACACCAAGCAACCATCCATGCCGCGTGACACCCCCGTCCCTCCCTCCCCCCCCCCCCCCACAGTGTAACACCACACAACCACGCTGCGTCGGGTGAAACAGTACAATCACACTGTGCTGCGTGAGCCCCCTGGCGCAACATAATGCGACTCAACAACGTTATACCACATGACCCCCCCTCCATGTGGCAATGCAACAACACTGGGCAGCACAACACAGTGCTGTGGAGTGACAATGTCCAGAATCCAAGCCTGTCCAACCCTCCCCCCAGTTCCAGGACCCTGACTCCTTCCCTTAGCCAATCAGCATATGATGTGCAATGCCAGCCGATAGATGGGAAACCCTGCCAAGAGCAGGCCCAAGGGTTACATAAAGCTTGCCATAAAACACTGGGGAGTGGGGAGTGAAGGTGGCTTCCCAGCATGGGGCTAACTCCTTATAGGGCAGGGAGGGGGTGAGCCTGTGATGCAGCTACTTGTGCCCACTAGGTGGAGCCCTTGCACCTACAGTGCCCCCCTCCTTCCCTATGGCAGGGTCCTTAGGGCAGGGTGGACTGTGAGCCAGTGTTGATCACCAGTTTTTTCTCCCAGATTACCGGCGGCATCTGGGAGCAAGGCACCCACTCACTCACCAGATGGAGCAGCGCATAGAGCAACTGAGGCAGCAGCTGGGCGCCAGGAGCCCTGGGTCAGGAGGGGTTGTTCAGACGGTCCACACCCCATGAGCCCCCAAACTCCCCTGCATCCCACCCCGTCACCCCCAATTCCTGACCTTGGCACTTCACTCTTTCACACCAATGCCTGACCTCTGACTATCCTAATGCATGGCCCCATCTCTCTCCCAAGCACCTGACCGCCCCTCACCCCATCCCAGAATGAGATTTGGAACTTTGTAGACAAAATTAAAATGGATCTCTCCTTTGCTCGGACCCATTGCCTCCTGGAGAGCAGAACGAGGGGGGCTGTGCTGTAGGGAGCGGGCTTGGAATTCAGGAGGGGACACTCCCCGGCAGCCAGTGCTAACCCCAATGCTGTAGGACAGCTCTAGGGAGTCGAGGGAGTCGTTGTATGGAGGGAGGTGTTTGGTAAGGGATGTTCTCCTTGGACCGCGGTCCCTATATAAATAACCCCACCCCAGAGGTAGCTGCATCCTAGGCTCCTTCCCCTGGCTCTGTTATGAACAGGGTCAAGTCCACACACATACATACATGGGGGCTGCATGGGAGCTAGAGAGCTGGGATACTAGGGAGGGGGAAAGCAGGTCCAGTTGTCAGGGGGGTAAGGGGACACTGTGGGTCAGGACTGAGGGGCACTAGCAGAGCTGAGGCAAGGAGACTGGGTCAGGATTGAGGGGCATTAACAGCTGTGGGGGAAGGGCTAGGACAGTGGAGCGGAAGCTGCAGGTGCTAGGCCATTCCCTAGCACCCACTCTGCTATGTTTGCAAGGTGTTTTTTAAATCCTCAGTCCCCTCCACACACCCCCACCTAGACACCAAAACTCTGCCACCTGTTGGCCTTAGGTGAGAAGGGCAACCTCACTCCCCCAGCTCCCTGTACCAGATAGGGCTTCCCCCAAATCAGACACAACAGACAAAGGCTTTCAAGTTGTGCCAGGGGCATAAGGGTTGCAATGGGCCTGCTAGTGAGTGGGGACGAAGGGCTGTGAGCAGCCCCTAAGCCTGTGGGGAACCCTGGCGCTCTCTTTTCTCGTATTCGTGTTCCATTGTAAAGCCCTCTGCAGAGGCTAGAATTTGCTCAGATTTTAGGAGTCCCCTGTGAACTGAGTTTGTTGCTTCTTGGCTTGGTCTCCTCTACCTTCCTTATCCCATAAACCCAGCAAAAATATGTCTGGGAGGGGGGCAGGTCAGGACTGAGGGGCATTAGCAGAGCTGGCTTGGGCCGGGCTGAGATGGCAGGCGTCTCTGGGGATGATGGGGCCCTGATCTCAGTTGTGGGTCTGTGCAGTGCCCAACAAGCTTGGTCCCTAGTATAACAATATTGTGATAACATTGCTATGGCAGGATGTGCTGTTCAAACAGTCTTACTGCAAGCAGTGTTCAGTCTTGAAGATTTGCTTCCTTGTTAGTTTTGTAATGCTCATTCATTTGGGACGTAGCTGTTGCAAGCAGCTAGAGTTTGCTTCCTGCCTTTATCTCTCTAACTGGAGACCTCCCTGGGACCCAGGCATTAGTGTTCTGTCTGAGATCTCTGAGAGAAAAGATCATCCTCTGCGCAGTTTGCAACCACCTCTCTTTCAGGACTGGTGCATCTAGTGTAAATAAACAGCTGATACTAAGAAAATCTCCACATACATTATAAGGGACCCCTATGATTATCTAATCGGGCCTACTACATAACAGGCCATAGGATGGCCATGATTAATTCCCATTGGGACTAGAAAAGAGCTTAGAGAAGAAACAACCCATCTTGATTTAAAATTTGCCAGTGATGGAGAATCCATCACAATTCTTGGTAAGTTGTTCCAATGGTTAATTACTTCACTATTAAAAAATTGGTCCTTATTTCCTCTCTGAATTTGTCTAGCTTCAACTTCCAGCCCTTGGCTTGTGTTAGACCTTTGGCTGCTAGATGGAAGAGTGCATTATTAAAGGCTTTTTTCCCCATGTAGGTACTTATAGATTGGGATCAAGTCACCCCTTAACCTTCTCTTTCTTCAACTAAACAGATTAAGCTCCAGGAGTCTCTTGTTATAAGGCATGTTTCCTTTATGATTCTTCTGGCTGATAACTGTGTTCGGGCCCCTCTAAATCAGTTTATCATCCAGCAAAAATCCAGTTCTTTTAACGTTGTCTCTGCTTACTCTGCAGTCTGGTCCTTGTGTTGGGACCTTGCTTTAAGTGACAGCAACCAGGAGATGCTCTGCAGCTGTGTCCCATTGATCTGAGGCTCCTGAAAGCATTGATTGGCTTGCTGGTGAAATTCTCAGGCACTGCTAACCCTAGAGCTTTGTTGTTCATGTGTGCCAGCATCTTAATTAAAACTGGTTCCCTCTCCTTTTATATTCAATGGGCTAGTGGGAAGGGTTGGGGGAGCAGGCCATGGGATTGTGGGTGTGTGTAACTAATACAGTGATGCCTACCTGGGTTTGCAGAGGGCCTGACCAGTGCTCTGAGAGGGAGGAACTACTGACCAGGGGATGAATAGCAACACAAAGTTGTTGTGGTAGAGTTGTGATGGCAGGGGAAATGTTGGGAAGTGATCCTGGTTCCATGTATCTGTGGCTGCGATAGGTGTTGGGTCACTGGAGGGACCCTGAATCAGAGCTGAGAGAACGCTTCACAGAATTTGACACACTACCATCTCTGGGCAGCTCCGACCATGGGACCAGGATGGCACCTGCTGGGGTACAGGGACAGTTACCTGGTTACCAGGAAGATGCGGTCTTGGTTACTGGGGAGATGAGAGAATGGTTACCTAGTTACAGAGAGGATGGTTACAGCAGACCACTGTTGTAGTTACCGGGGGGGTGGGGGTGGGGGTGGGGTGGGGGAATGATTACCTAGGTAGCAGGAGGGACACAGTTACCTGGTTACCAGGAGGATATCATGTTGGTCACAGGAATCACAGGGATGCCTGTCCTGCCTGGTTACAGTGTTAACAGGCAGTCCCCTGTGATGTCAGCGATGATACCCTAAACCTTTCACCAGATACTTGGGGGGAATTGCTGGAGCCCCATCCCAGAGGGAACATGGAGTAGGTATGGAGGGAGCATGGACCCCAAGGAGTGGAGGGGCTCTGTAACAGGTGTAAGAGGCAGCATGGTCTAGTGAGGAGTCAGGACTCCTAGGTTCTATCTCTGGCTCTGGGCAGGAGCAGCATCTAGTCAAGAGCAGGGGGACATTGTTGGAAATGCTTCTCCCAGTGGGTGTGGAGTGACTGCCCAGTCCCCGCACCTCTTTGTGAACCCTTTTCCTCATGCCCTGGTGTTTGCCTCACCACCAAGGGGCAGAGTTAATGGCCCCTTCCCTTGGGTTTGGGAGTGGTGGGTAGGTGGCAGTTCCCAGCACCATGAGAATGGCATTTTTTACCTTGGCAAAATGTATCTAGAGGGGAACAGGGTGGGGCCAGGACGCGGGGTGGGTGGGCAGAGCCAAGACATGAGGGCAGGAGGGAGCAAGGCCTGGACCAATAAGGAGGAGGAGGCATGGCCTGGTCGGGCACCATGTGCCATTTAACTGGGTGGGTGTGGCTCTTCCTAAGCAGGGCACACGTATCAGTTCACTTGCTGTAGCTGCACTGAGTGGGCCCTAGGAGCTTGCCCACCTGGTGACCCCCACTGCTCAGTCCTGCACCAGTAGGTGCCACAGGGATCCCCAAGGCATCTCCCCTGTGCCCAGTATGGCCCAGTCCCAGCTGAGGGCATCATTAGTCCTGAGTTCTCTGACCTGACACACACACAGACCCAGGAGTCCTGATTCCCAGGAGCAATATAGGCAGGGACAAGGAGAGGGGAGTGGGTTCTCTAAACACCATTGTCAGAGCTGGGGATAGAACCCAGGAGTCCTGACTTGTAGCCCCCTGCTCTAACCTGCTGCTCACCCCCTACTCCCTGAAGTTCTGGGGACTTTCCAAACCAGTTTAGCAGGGTGTGGAGAAGGCTGAAGGTCAAAGAGAACCTCCCACTCCCCATCTGGCTGGGACAGTGCCTGTCTGGGGGTTCACCTTGTGATTAGCCAACTGTCCCTGCTCAGAGTCAGGGATGCTTCTGCCAAACCAGGAGCCCCATACAGGCACAAAGGGCATGCCAGGGCTCCTGGGTTCTATCCCTAGCTCTGCCACTGACCTTGCACAAGTCCCTTCCCCTTAGTCTATTTAGACTGGAATCTTTTCGGGGCTGTGTGTCTGTACAGTGTCCGGCATGAGGTGGGGCCCCCATCTGGGTCAGGGTCTATGCAGCAGCACCCAGTGTAATGGCCCCAGGGGGCTGAGGGGGTGGGGTAGGCAGAGTGGGATGTGGAGTTCTGATGAGCACAGTCAGTCGCTAAGAGTCTGGGAAGGCCCCAGGCAACCTTCCAGTGCATGGGAAGTCAGGTCACACCTGTGTTTACAACTAACCGGCAGCCCTAACCTGCCAGCTGGGTTAGCAGGGGTGGCTGCTACACACACGCAGCACCGGCCCTCAATCCCAACCCACAGCCTGCTGCTATCCCAGATGGAGCTCCCCTCCAGCACTGCCGGTGCCCCTCAGTCCTGACCCACAGCCCCCTGCTACCCTAGCCCTGGCCTCCTCCCCAACTTCCAGCCTCTCAATCCCAACCTGCAGCCACCTAGTGGGCTGGTTGGATCTGCCCTGGGGAATTAATACTAATGACACTTAATGAAGGGCCATTTGTTTGGCCATGTCAGGCAGAGGTGGGTAAATGAGTCCCATGTGACTTGGGGGTGGGAGTGACAGCTGGGCCCCCCTCAGGGGCTCAAAGTGACCTTCAAAGACCTTCAGTCACTAAGGCTAGGAGGAGGCTAGTTTGGCTGGGCAGATACCAGGAATGCAAACTGTGGTGGGTTAGACCAGGAGGGCTAGGCGGTTAGGATGTTCCCCAGCTCTGCCTCTGACTTGCTGTGTGACCTTGGGGGCACATCTCTTCCCTACTCTGTGCCTCAGTTTCCCCCTTTGGCCACGGGGGATCATGCCCTGACCTGACTCTCACAGGGTGGACAGGGCTGGTTCCTGAAGATTCAGGGATAAATGTGTGGGCTTTTGAGATCACCAGGTGACTAGGGCAGAGGGGGTCTCCTCAACTCTTAGGGTGTGCCCCCCAGCAGGACTCCCCCTTCCCCTAGTACATTCCCTGAATGGTTTGGCCTGGGCACAGAGTCTCCTTAGGGTCACTCCAATCTGGGGAAGTGTGGGAGACACTGTCCCATCTACCTGCTCCCAGGAGTCTCGCCACCTGCCCATTAAGTGAGAGCCCCCCCGCAGTGTGGTCTAAGCTGCCCCTTATTTATTTCCCCTTTCCTCCTGCTATATGCCACCCATGAACCTCCCACCACCTAAAATCAACCCCATGATCCTACAGCCCCCCCAACTTGCTGCCCATGGAGATGCCTCAATCATTTCCACCCACAGCGGGCTGAATTGTCCCCCCAGGATTCCCCAGACCCCCCCCAGCACCAAATTAACAGCCCTTCATTGCGCCCCTCAGATCTGTAACCACTCTATGATCCCCCAGACCAGCCCCTTACCCACATTGACCCCCATGATCCCCCTACCCACATTGACCCCCATGATCTCCCAGACCAGCCCCCTACCCACATTGACCCCCATGATCCCCCTACCCACATTGACCCCCATGATCTCCCAGACCAGCCCCCACCCCCATTGACCCCCATGATCCCCCTACCCACATTGACCCCCATGATCCCCCAGACCAGCCCCCTACCCCCATTGACCCCCATGATCCCCCTACCCACATTGACCCCCATGATCTCCCAGACCAGCCCCCTACCCCCATTGACCCCCATGATCCCCCAGACCAGCCCCCTGTCCCCATAAGCCCCCCCGTTAATTCCCTGAATGCCCCCAACAGGTCCGTGCCCCGCCCCTCTGACTCCTCACAGCCCGGCCCCCAGGCCCCGGCCGGCGCTAGCTCGGTGGGGGCAGCGAGGTCGGAAGTGAAGGGCCGAGCGCGTGCAGCCCGGCCCCGCCCCACTGCTGCATATTCATGAGGCGCCGCCCCGCCCCTTCCATTTGTCAGCTGGGAGCCCAGGAGGAAGTGCGCCGCGATGTCCTTTTGTGTCCTACACTCGGAGCGCAGCGCAGCGAGCCGGGCTGAGCCCGCGCCCATGGCCCGGCCGGCCCCCCGCGTCCCGGG